TGAAGACTCTTCTCTGGATTCCCATGCAGCTCTTGGCTAAGAGCTGGAAAACCAAAAACAAGGTCTGCCCTCATAGTCAGAAGTAAGATGCTGAAGCAGTTATTTGACTCTGCTAAACAAACAGTCTCTGGATCCAACAGTTTCCTCTCTCAAAGAGAAACCCGGACTCCTTCAAGATATTCATCATCAAACTCTAAGTCTCATAACTCATCTGTCCCTGCGCTAACTGAACTGTCATCCCTGCAGACTCCAGTGAACCTGCCCCCAGGCCTGAACCAGTTCCTGTTGCAATATTCATGTGCTTGTGTTTCAATAAACCTTGTTAAACTTTTCATCAACCTCTGTTTGTGTTCTGCATGTTGGGTTTACTCGGTAACCAATCATGACAGTTTGGTGATTAAACATTATTTCTAATCCTAAATGACCAAAAGAAGCAGAGTTTCTCTCACAGCTTCCAGGCTTTGTGGCTCCTCTATTATTTGCAGCTCCGCCTTCTTGAACGTTACAGGAGGATCCAGACAGCAGCGAGGATTTAATGAGCAAAAACCTGAGGAACCAGAAATAACAAGGAACAAAGAACAAGGAAACCAGGAGATTTAAAGGAAAAGTCGCTCATATTCAGAATTCAAACGTCTGAAAGTTCTTTAAATCTGAAATGATTCCATCCTGTTCAATAAATGATCAGTGTTTTTAATTTAGGGTAATTTTCATGTGAATGTGCTTTACTGGAGGCATCCATGTTTGTCAAAGAACACTACTGCCACCTACTGGTTAGTGACATTGTCACGGTGCGGTATCGGCTGTTGATCAAGTCCCAGTGCTGTATCTGGTGTTTGTCAGAACGCGCTATTATCCAAGTCATCTTGAAAACATTCTTCTTCCAAATGTTGGCTACATATTATGGGTTTTTTCTCTGGCCAGAAGTTCGATGGCAAATCCTCCCTCTTCAAGTTGGCGATCCAACGACCAACCCGTCCGTGGAGGATCAGGAATCAGAAAGGTGGAATAACTATTTTTTTCACTTTTACCCGATGTATTCCAGCATCCAGCTGCCATGCACGTGGGCATTGTCAGTTTCACTATAGCTCTGGTGAATTTCAATGGTGAAGTCCTCTGGAAATCTTCAATAATTGTTGTTGATTGCAGATGTGTCTAGTAGTTCCCATTGATTTAGCTTGGAAAGCGGGGAGAATGGCGCTAGGCTTACCGCACCGTGACGTCACTGCTGGAAGATGGCAGGAGGGAGGGGCTACTATGTTTGGGCAAAAATGGCCGCTCTCAGACTCAGTGATCATGACAAAAATTATTGCTTTCATGTTTTTTATTGATTAACACTAAATTCATTACATCGCCGCAAAAATGTTAGTTTTAGGTATAAATAATGATCCATTGATCATTCCTTACTGACCAGAGAGAAGTCAGACAGACAGGATGGAGGGAAACACGCTGAGAGGCAAACAGTACTTTCATTAAGCAGGAACAGGCTCAGAGTAGAGGCAGTAACTCAGCATCATAGATCCTCCACTGTGCTCATCAATGGGCTCAAGGTTTCAGTTTCTGTTCAGTTTAGTTTTATATCATCACACCTCATGTCGTCTAAGAACCATTTATTCAATCCAATCAGATCAAAGGTTGAACATTTTTTCTCTAAGGAAACTCTAAGCAGGAAAAACTATAGTGAGCTCCTTGTGAACTGGCGCCTGTCACCACAGCCGCTCCGTTCTTTAAAGTTCCAGGTTTTCTAAATGTTTGAATCATTCCTCTCATTGTAGACATCTGTCACTTTTGGCCAGGAGTTATTTTTCTGTAATTAAATGCTGATTTTTTAAAGATAATCTGCTTTACCTAAAGGGAAATTTCTCTTGTCTTTATTGTGTTAAGAGTTGAGAGAAAAGAAAAGTCTTAGTGAGAGTCATTTTTATTATACTATGAACTTTATAATAGTCATTTTTTCATAAATAATCCTTCATCAACTTCTTTCCCAGTTGACTCTAATTAAAGGCTGGATCTTCATAAATTCCACAGTGATCATGCAGCTGCAATAAAACCATTTTAATCTAAACCTTTTCACATATTTGTAACAATTAACGTCATTAATATTTCTCAAGAATTTCTGTAAAACAATTTCTCTGCTTTCCTGCTGGTAAAATGTTTTTTATGAGCCTGTTTGTTTATATTGTATTGCAGTTAAATAAAAACCAATGAATGGGTTTCTGCTGCCCCCTACTGGACACCACCACACATTACAGATTCTTGATCTGGTTTAACATTTAAATGTTTATTAGTATTTTTCACAGTTGTTTACTTACACAACGTACATGAACCTTTGCTTGGGAGCCATTTCTCCATCTTATATCAGAGATCTGATTGTTCCTTATGTTCCTAACAGAGCACTTCGCTCTCAATCTGCAGGTTTACTAGTGGTTCCTAGAATTTCTAAAAGTAGAATTGGAGGCAGATCTTTTAGTTATCAGGCTCCTCTCCTGTGGAACCAACTACCAGTTTTAGTCCGTCTAGTTAAACTGGTCTATTTTAGTTGAACTAGTCTAATCAGGTTTACTATATTACAATTTTTTTGCTTATCTTCTTTACTGGTGTAATCTAGTTAAATTCAATCTAGCTTCATCATTAATTTTGGTCCTTAAGCTCCCATTTCACATTTTTTTTCTTTCTTATTCATCCTTTTTTTTAAATGTTTTTACGTGTTTATTTTGCTTGTTTGTCTCGTATGCTGCTGAAACCAGTTGGCCTTGGTGGGATTAATAAAGTCGTCTACGTCTTAAAAGAAAACCGGAGCAGGACAGAAGTTGTTATGTAATCAGAGATGAAACCAATGATTATGTTTATTTTATTAATGAATTCATGAACATGATGAATCATCCTCTGCCTATAAAATGCAATTGTTTACATTTCCAAGCTTTTAAAGTCACTTCATTCACCTGCAGGTTGTAGACGAAGGCCAGGCGAGCAGCGTCAGCTCCAGAAAACAAGTTGCCTGGAAGTCACACAGCTGGATTTAAGCCTCGCCCAGACTGACGTTCACCTGGACTGAAACATTTAGTCATTTAACCAGGAGAGGAAACCAAACAGCTCTGTTTCTTTGTGCAGAACCACCTATTCAGGCTGAGGGAAGGCAGCTCTGGAGAAGAAAGCTTTCTGATAATCAGCCGTCTCCTCTGCATCCCTTCCCTTCATGCAGCTGTTCAAACAAACATGATAAGCTTTAATCATCACTGGAAAGACTCACACTCTGGTCAGGTGATGGACATATTTCTGGTATAAATCACTGAGGGTTTAACCAAAGGAGTACATCAGGCAACTCTTCAAAAATGCTTTTTTTCTGCTATATACACTTTTTTATATTGTCTGTTCCATTTATATCTTTAATGGCATCTTGCTTTAACTCTTTGTGCTCTATATAAGCTACTGGAACCAGAATTTCCCTGAAGGAGTAATCCTACAGGATAAATAAATTTGAGTCCAAGTTTAAGTCTAAGGTTGATGCTAAATGCATGAGTAAAGTTTGCGATGATAAAGACCAAGAATTCACTGACGGTGAATGATTTCCTCCAGAAAAGTGCTGGTTTTGTTTTTATTCTGGAGGATCCTTGCTGCTGCTGTGCTGCTTTGCTCTGAACCATGACGCTCCCAGGCTGCAGCTCATACTTTCTGGAGGCCGGAAGAGGTTGGCTGAAATCAATATAGGCACTTTTCCTCCTGCCGTCCTCCAGCTTCTGCTCCGACGCACACAGACTTTGTCCACATTCCTGCTGAGATAATAAAAGATAACAAGTAAAAGTCAAACAACATATATTTCACCTTTTTTTTTTAATTAAATATGCCTGTTTTTAACCATGAAAACAAATTCAAATTTCACCTTTCTATAGATTTTCTCTTCACGATTGAATGGAAAAAAACCTGATAAAACTAAACATTTCATATAATTCTTTAAAAATAAAAATGATTTAAAATAATTTTTTTTTTAAATAATATATGATAGAAGAGATTAAAAATCTAAAATAAATCCATTTAACAAGCACACCTGCTTTTACAAATGTATGTAATCTGGTAGTTTCTAATTGATTCATTAGGTTTTATATTTTCAGTCATGTTGATCACATAATAGATTTATTACCTGCTGATTTATTTATTTATTTTTTATCAGCATTTGTTAAATTTGATCTGTAGTTTTATGTATGACAATATAAAAAAAACAATGTTTATATAGTGAAATAAAATAGGAAAAAAAAATATAAATAAAATTAAAGGATCATAAAGGTAAGACGCTGTTAATTAATTGTAAATCTTTATTTTTATAGTTACGAAACAACGATTCAGAGCAGTTAGCTAACAGTGAATAACTTTATTTACGCTCAGTTAATAATTTACTCGCAATTTGAATGTTTGTCTTCTCAGATGCGTCCATTGTTTGTAAATGGAATCAAAATTACACAACAGCTTACTTAACAGATTTTTTTATGTTGTGCTTCTCTTTTTCCTGCTTTACGTCTCTAAAGTCTGAATGTTTCCATAGAAACCAACACAAACAGCCACGAGGCTTTTATTTTCTTAACAAAGAGAATAAACAATAAGCGAGAGCTACTTCCGGTAACGCTTTGAGCTAGCCAAAGGGCTAAAGTTAGCCTCCATTAGCTGCTAACAGCTGTTTACTGGAAAAGTTAAAACTAACCTGGAGTTCATTACTATTTAATTCTTTTCTTACTATTATTTTCCTAAGTTTTAGCATCGAGTTTAATTAAAGGGTAAGAGAGAATAAAGCTACGATAAATGTAGGCTAGAAGTGTGTGTTTTCTAATAATTTAAGCAAAGAAGTCGGTTTAATGAGATAAAGTGGCCTTTTGTGAATGTATATGGTTAATGGTTTTAAAAACACTCAGTCCTACATTAGTAGCAGCTACCTACGGGTAGTACTACTACCCGTAGACTTTGGTCTATGGCACTACCGACCCGCCGAGACACTCTTATTTTGAAAGTCCAGCAAGAGGCGCAGAGGTCGATCAGCTGACTGGATATCTATAAAGCAGGCTGTCCGAGATCCTTCTGTTCGTCTCGTTTTTCCGGTTCCAGCCGCAGGAACCGATAAATGTTCATCTGTCCGCCTCCTGGTTAGCAAACAGCCGCTGTTGGTTCTCCGCTGCGGTCGTTTCCGGTTGGTGGATCTATGCTGAGGGCGACCGAGAGCCGGAACTGAAGCCCAGAGAAGGATCGCTGCCGCCGGCATGGACACCCAGGGCGAGAGGAGAAGGCTGCTGGATGCGGAGGGAGGAGAGGAGACCCCCGCAGGACTGATGTCCGAGCAGGAGGCCTATCTCAGGTCAGCCCAACATAACTATTCTATTCAGTTTATTTCTATAGCACCAATAAAAACATGTCATCTCAGGTCACTTTCCAGTTCACCGGATCATCCAGTCAGATTGATTCAAAGTTTTTATCTAAGGAAAACCAGTTGATTGCATCGACTCATTGACTCTTCAGCAATCCCTCACACTAAGCATGCTTGTAGCGACAGTGGAGAGGAAAAACTGTAAATACACTTAATATAAAACATTTATTTCTTTTATTATTTATTTCTAGATAATTTTTGCAGTGCAGTGTCAGTGGCCGACTACTGAGGCTGACTGGGGTTCAAGGAGGCAGAAGCAGAGATGCAGGGAGGAGCAGAGATGCAGGGAGGAGCAGAGAGGAGCAGAGATGCAGGGAGGAGCAGAGATGCAGGGAGGAGCAGAGATGCAGGGAGGAGCAGAGATGCAGGGAGGAGCAGAGATGCAGGGAGGAGCAGAGAAGAGCAGAGATGCAGGGAGGAGAAGAGGGGAGGAGAGATGCACGGAGGAGCAGAGACACCCCCGCTTTAGTAGCAGGATGCAGCAGAACATAAGGTGGGACTCATCTTAGGTGGTTCCTACCTGGATGTTGCTGAAGGTTCTCTGTCATCCAGGTCATAGTCATTCCAAAAAAGAAAATTAAATACAATCTACTGGACTTTGTTTCTTAGTTTGAAGATGGAATTTCCCATTGGTAACCTGCTAGCACTAAGTTGCTAACTGGTTAGCAAGATGCTTCCCACAAACCGGCCACAACCAAAAAGCTTGAAAACCTTCCGCCCCAACAATCCCGCCCCCTTGATAATCGACCAATCACATTCACTTTATTCACTCGTGTAAAGTCGGGCACCACTCGGGAGAATTCGGAAATGCAACGTTTGGAACAGCTGCTTCCCTACTATAAAAAAAAAAAAAAACATTTTAGTTTAAACAGTGAGGGAAAGTGGCTACCTCTGCACCCCCGCTCTGGTCCACAGAGCCCGTTTGCTGTGCGGCGCTGCGCCATAGCTGTAGTTGAGGCAGTCACAGTGGAAGACGTGGACTGACTGGAACTTCAAACAACATGGATACTAAAATAACTAAATGATCAATATCTTCTGATGAACATTTACAGCTTTTTTATCTATACATGCAATTTTAATAGTTGGGACAAATATCCTACTATACAGTGATATTATAGTATTGTGATAATATCGTATCGCAACACCCACGCCAATAGGGGGTTTTCATGTGACGTCGCGCTCACGTGACTACTCAGCGCGTCCGCCATATTGGGTGGCAGCCTTAGGCAGTATTGACAGTGAAAAATTGTGAAATCGCGTGTAATTGTTGGTTGCACGGCCCGTGGAGGTGGAGATCAACGCTCTTTCTATCGCATACCAGCCGTAATCGTGAATCAATGTGAAAAAACAAAACAGCTATCTGAACAACGCCGTCACCTATGGCTGACACGGATATCCAGGTCCGATTTGGACGGTGTGAAGCTGGAACACGCCAGAGTCTGCAGTGCTCACTTTGTCACAGGTAATTAACTGTCAAGCATTTAAAACATGTAAGAATATATTAATAATAGGGCTTGGGCGTCATGACGTATTACTTTCCGTGGCCGCAATGTTGACCGTCTCCGCCGCCGCTACTCAGACTACTGCCTATGACCACCGCGTACTGGACTCCCTCTCTCAGCCGTGTTTTAATTTGATTAATTTCACCTTAACTTGATTTCAACCAGCGGGAAAAGGCTCAAATATGTGAGAAACCCGGAGGGTTTAGGGAGGTTTGGCAGTTAACGTTACTAACCAAACCTTTGAAAAACATAGCAGCTAGTTAAAAGTACATTACATGCCTGAGTGGTTGTTAGCACTAACGGTTAGCACTGTTTGCTGGCTTTATGAGCTGCAGCTCCTGAACCCATCCATTCGTAAACTGCACATGAGACTCCAAGGACTTGTAGCTTTGGAACTGTTCGCGCACCGCCGGCCGTTAGCCACCTAGCATAGCGAGCCCTGCGTCGGATTGTTTACATTTTTACCATCTTATTAAAACTCACCCGTCCACGTATGATGGCGATTTCCTTCATGTACATCACTTCGACATCTCGTACCCAACCAGATGTGAACTGGTTGTGAGCCTCTAGACCCTTGTACGCTCTCATTTCCTCCAGAGTGTGCAGAGGGTTTTCACTGAACACCGGGTAATGAACTATGTTACCGTGCTCTACATTTGGCCAATCATCTGGATTAGTGCTAAACAAGGCACCGTGGAGGGCATAGGGGTCCATATGGTCGATCACGGAACATTTCCTCAGATATTTTCCATGATCTGGTGGCTCTAGCGTGCTGGCGTACTTATCTATTCGCGACATGATATATTTAATATACGATAATATGCCACCCAAGATGGCGGACCGGGAGCTGGCCAGTGACGTCACTGAAAACCCCCTATACTCCCCCCTAGCTGACTTTGTAACAAACCAAAGGCTGAAGGTGGTCGATGCAGACGGAGGGTTCAGATTTTTCATGAGTCAGAAAGTATTCCAGAGATTTTTCTATCTTTTCACAATAGAATAAAAGAAAAACTAAAACATGTTTCTTATAAAAGGATGTTCATTTGCTCTTTAGTTTGATTTAAAAAGAATAAAATGAATGAAAAATAAAGCTGATTTTTTTGGTCACCCTAATGATGCAGTCAGTGATTTCGGGGATCAGTCCTTTTACTGCTAAGATATATTTAAATGTTTTAACCAAACCCAGAAGTATTTTGGTTATCATCCTTTAATCTGGTCAGCAGGCACGTGCAGAGGGGGGGGCTAAGGGGGCTTGAGCACCTGCCCCTTTTGCTCCATGATCCCAATGTGCACTTTTGGTCCCTTTTTTTTTTTTTTTTTTAATATATATTTTTTTTTTATTTGACACATGTACTGAAATTATTATTATTATCTTTTTTTTGGCAAGAAAAACAATACAATAAGCCCTCCGGTCACATTGTTACCTTTGACCTTTTGCCGGTGACGACGCACTTGCCTCTCGCACAGTCAGATAAGGCGGCTAACTGCGGAGCTAAAGGTAGCGAACATTCCACATTACACTGTGGCCGCTGCTCATTTGGCCCTAAGCAAGATCAACCATGATCGGACGGATGGCTATGTCTTCAGTCTGCACTGCCTCTCCAATGTCAACCTGAATAAACATGTAAGTGAAACCAAATGAGCCCCATGGATGATGCAGTATTGTTTGATCTAAAACACTGTTTGCTCTGTGCTTTTAGTCTTTTACATTGAAAATTATGTTTTTTAATTCACAAAAAACTGTTCTGTAATGATTACAGAACAGTTCTTTTGTGAATTAAAAAACATAATTTTTGGTGAAAATACTGGAGTAGGCTTCCTACTTGTCAGACAACGGAAAACTTTGAACGTTGTATAATTTCTCTACTTTAGCAAAGAGTAGCGGTTTAAACGGAGGAAAGTAGTTCTTTCTCTGAAGAACTACTGAGCGGGAGGAGACAGCCAGGTGAGGAAAAGCTGTTCTTATCTATCGATTCAGTATTTTTATCATACAGACTGGCTGTTGTTCTTGTGCTATGAGCTAGCTGCTAGCTAATGACTTTGCTAGCAAAGCAAGATAACTAAAAAGCTTCCCTGTGTCGTTAATGATAGTAGGACATTCTTCAGTATTACTTATGCAATAGGGGCACATCGCCCGTCAAAAACCTATCATCTCCATAATGGATATATGTCTGATTTTCTAATTTCCTTTGCTGCATGATGTACACTTCATTTATTCTAGCGTTAGGTAAATGTATCTTGAAGGAGAACTCATCCAGAACTACCATGATAGATATATGATAGATATAATGTCTGAAGCTGGTGAAAACAAAACTGCGCAGCTTATGCAAGGAGGATCGGTTGTCAGACCTTCTTTTGTTGGCAATCGAGAAGGATGTGCCAATCATTCACAGTGAGGTTATTAACATTTTTAAAGACATGGCTAACAGAAAACTGCTGCTGTGAACAAAAGAGAACAAAAACAGCAAAAATGCTTAAAAGTTGGAAATTTGTTTTTAAACAGTTAAATCACCATGACGGAAAATAAGTTTTTGGATCATAATCTTGGATTTAGTTTGGGGAGAAAAGAAAGGCAAGAGACTGAAATAAATAAGACATTGACCTTCACTCAACACAGAAAAGATGAGTCAATGAAGAAAAAAAGAAAAGAGAAACTGGCAAGGAAAAACAAAGGGGAAAGATTGAAGAAAATGTATATAGGTACTTACAAAATACACTAAGACACAAACAGAGTAGGCTTTACTCATGGTGACATCCATTAATAAAATGTTTGTTTTGTTCTTTTTTTTCTGCAGTTCCACGTTAAAGTTTGATGCAGCAGCTCTGCTTTTCTGAATGGACCGTCTCCATCTCCACTATTTCCCTTAGCTTTGATTGTATGTCTCACAATTTTGTAATTTATCATTGTTCATTAAACTCTGAAAGCTATGTGACTTTGTTAATATTCTGTCCTAAAATGCGATAAGATGTGCCCTTTTTTTTTTTTGAGCACCTGCCCCTTTAGTGGTCTCTGCACGGCCCTGCTGGTCAGTATGCACAGTCTGATTATTTAGGGAATAATTCTGCCATCCTTATTTCAAAATGTTCCAGGTTTGGTTTATAAAGGAGCGGGTCCAGATGGTAAAACGCTGCTTTACATGAAAGCATAATCCTGTGTTAGAATGGCCTAGTCAAAGTCCAGAACAAAATGCAATTGAGACTCTGAATTGTCTTAAAACTTCTTAAGAAAACTTACATTTTTTTTAAAGATCAGCAAAGTATGGAGTGAATTCTGTTTAATTATTGTTTATTCAACTGAACGAAACGTTGGAAAAACGTATTAATAAAAAAAAAATAATTAAGAGCAACTTTGCTTTTTTCAGATTTTGTTCCGTAAAAGTAAAAAAAAATATATATATTTAGTTTTTTTCGAAAAAATATTAATTTTTTTTACAGATTTTGTTTTGTAGATTTTTTTTTAAGTTTCTCTTTTTCAGATTTAGTTTTACAAATACTATTTTTTTAGAGATCCTATTCTCTTCATGTCTGGGGGGCGGGCCTTCCTCCGGAGGGAGGAGTCTGCTGACGTCAGAAGATAATGTGATCTCTGAAACGTAATTTCAATAGAATTCATTTCCTAAATCTAAATTTGAAAACATAAATTAGTAAAAAAAAAAAAAAATGAAATAAAATCTGAGAAAACATCGAAGTTCCTCTCAAAACCTTTTTTTTTTTCGTCTCATTGGAGGGATTGCTTTTTTTCCAAAAACTTCAATCTATAAAGCTTTTTTTTGCTTTTTGCTTTTTAACAATAATTGGTAAAAAAAGACTCCATATTTAATCAATTAGTCGGGAAAACAAAAACTCTCCACGTTTTTCAGCTCACAGTTAGTCAGCACTTTTTTTCTTGTTTGTCACAAAAAACAGTTTGTGGTTTTTTGGATGATGGGATAAAGAAGAATCTAAAACTAAATTCACAAACTGGAGGTTTCTTCCTGTTCAAAGGGAGTTTTTCCTCTCCACTGTCGCTACAAGCATGCTTAGTGTGAGGGATTGCTGAAGAGTCAATGAGTCGATGCAATCAGCTGGTTTTCCTTGGATGGAAAACGTTGAACCAATCTGACTGGATGATCTGGTTGAACTGGTGTAAAGTGACCTGAGATGTGAATTGGAATTATAGAAATAAATTGAATAGAATTGAGGTTTGAAAAAAAAAAAGTCAAAACATGTCAAACAGCATCCTTCATTCCCCGCTTCCTCTTTTCTCCCTCACAGCAAAGTGAAGAACGGGAAGTTGTACCTGGCCTCGTTTGCAGCCGTTTTGGGCCCCATGAGCTTCGGCTTCGTGCTGGGCTACAGCTCCCCCGCCATCCCTGAGCTCAGCAGCATTTCCGACCCGCGGCTCAGGCTCAGCGACGAGCAGGCCTCCTGGTTCGGGGTACGATGATGCAGCATCACATGATGCAGATTCAGCAGCTTTATGTCCTCACATGCTTTAAAAAAACACTTCATGCAGCAGAAAAAGCAGAAAAAAAGGTCAAAGATGAAGTGGTGTTTGTGTTTCAGTCCATAGTGACGCTGGGAGCGGCGGCGGGCGGCCTGCTGGGCGGCTGGATGGTGCAGAGGATCGGCAGGAAGCTCAGTCTGATGCTCTGCTCGCTGCCCTACGTCTTTGGCTTCACGCTCATCATCGCTGCTCAGAACGTGTGGATGTTCTACGTAGGCAGAGTGCTGACGGGGTTGGCCAGCGGCGTCACATCGCTGGTGGTCCCGGTAAGAAGCACCTGAAGCCATAATGCTCTAAAATTAGAACCACCGGCTCTGCGCTCCATCTGTCCTCTGATTGATATGGCCGCCTCTCCACAGAGAGAGACTTTGCTCTAAAATCGGCCTCCATGGATCCTCCGGGGGATTTACCTGCAGACAGGGGCGGATTTAGGAAATGTGGGGCCTCAGGCAAAGACGGGCAGGTTAATAGAATAGACATCCATTATCTGTTCTAGGTTGTGTCCCTCTCTTCTTGTCCCTTTTCTTCTTGTTTTCCTCTCTATGTTTTGTACTCAGCTGACTTTTCATGCTGTCTCTAAAGGAATGAAAGATTTTTTCCAAGCACTAAGCTCACTTAGCTGATTGCTCCTTCCTGTGTTTCCAAAAAGGCCAAAGTAAATAACCCAGTCCTTCTTTTCACTGTAGACAAGCCATGATCTGCTTATCTGTTCTCCATTTTTCATTTGGATGAAATAATAGCTGCATGAATCATGACAGCAGACAAGATAGAGGAGAGCAGGAGGCGGGGTTACCAATCTACTCGCTCTGGAGAGCAGAGTTCGCTGCTTTTAGATGTTGTCTCCAAAGTCTCCAGTAGCAGAAAAAAGTCTCTAGATTTGGCGCTAGGAGCTTTTTAGAAATCAAAGTGCTAGAGGGGTCTGAAAAGTGGCTAAATATAGCGACTAAAGCGCTAAGTTGGCAACACTGCTCTTTGCATGGTTTGTTTTCAAATGGTTTGCTGCTGTCTGTTTGGACCTTTCTGAACATGTGCAGCAAATGGACTGATCCAATATGGTGGACACTGAAGGGGGGGGGGCTGAAACACACTTGATATTATCAGCGTTCTGATGGCATTTTAGCCAAAGGATTTTTATCAAAAGCATAATTAATGTGAACAAATAAGGAATAGTTGTATTAACCATACATGGAAACACGGTTCTAAGGGGCCCCCAGGAACTTGGGGCCCTAGGCAGCAGCCTAGTATTGCCTAATAGTGAATCCCCCCCCCCCCTGCCTGCAGATGTTTAACATCTGTGAAGCAGCCAGGAGTCAATTAGCACCAACACAAAGCAGAGAGCCATCAGCAAGGCTCAGCAGGAGGAAATAACAACAATGACAATAACATTCCGTAAAAATTCAAAAAATATCCACTGGACTTGGTTTTCAAAACCAAGTCCAGTGGATATTTTTTGAATTTTTATGGAATGACTATGACCTGGATGACTGAGAACCTTCATCAGCAATGACAATAACAGTACGGACCCAGAATCCATCTTAAATGTATTTTATAGTTTTTTTCTGGTCTAAAATGCGGTTTGTTGTGAAAAAGTTAGAAATTCTCTATTTTAAAAAAAATCCTTCAACAGAGATTGTTCCTGATTGTTGCTTAAAAACCCATTTGTTTGTCACATTCAGAGGCAGAGATGCGAAAAGTATTGATGTTTATTAGTCCAGTATAAATCCTACTGTTTAAAAACTTTAAAAATTATGAGAAAGTTATAAAATAACAACAATAAAGTCAATATTTAGAGAATAAAGTCCTAAAATTATGAGAAAGTTATAAAATAACAACAATAAAGTCAATATTTAGAGAATAAAGTCCTAAAATTATGAGAAAGTTATAAAATAACAACAATAAAGTCAATATTTAGAGAATAAAGTCCTAAAATTATGAGAAAGTTATAAAATAACAACAATAAAGTCAATATTTAGAGAATAAAGTCCTAAAATTATGAGAAAGTTATAAAATAACAACAATAAAGTCAATATTTAGAGAATAAAGTCCTAAAATTATGAGAAAGTTATAAAATAACAACAATAAAGTCAATATTTAGAAAATAAAGTCCTAAAATTATGAGAAAGTTATAAAATAACAACAATAAAGTCAATATTTAGAGAATAAATTCCTAAAATTATGAGAAACGAGGTATTTTATGACTTTTCTTACGAGAAGCCCTTTCTTCCCTAAAATGAGGAATGTGGAGCATCGTGTGAAGTTCTACTTTAGCATCGGTTTGACAAATCAGGGAATCTTTTAGCAGCAGCATCAAACTGGGCAGGATGTCAAAGTGGACTCTGGTTGCTGATTGGTGGAGCTGGTCGGCCGTCATCTGCTGGGCGGAGCTCCAAGCTTTCTTTCTGAAACGGGTTGTTGAACGATGACTTTATTAATGTAATGTTACGACTTTTTTCTCCAAAAATAAAATAAAATCTCTAGCCTGGCCCTGATACTCCGTCATAAAAAGCTTTGGGAGAAAATGTTTTCTTCTGTCACTGAAACTCCTCCTCCTTCTTTCTGCAGCTGTATATTTCTGAGACGGCCCATGAAAAGGTGCGCGGGATGCTGGGCTCCTGTGTTCAGCTCATGGTGGTCTCGGGGATCATGGGCGTTTACCTGGCAGGTAGGTCAGCCGAGTCCAGGCCTATTAGAAGCTTCTAGAAGAAGATCTTCTCTGAGCTACCTCCTTTGGGTTCAGTTTCTGCAGCGTAGGGAGCAGCTGACAGGCTGTGAATCATTACAGGATTCCTCTGATCAATAAAATCCCTCATCTCCTCACTGATCAACACTTTCTGAGGCTCTGATTGAGTTAGAGGCAATCAGCTCTTGTTCCTCTGCTCCCTGACCTCTGAGCTGTAATCAGTTCTGATCCTGCATACTTCTAATGTTTTACAACCAGAGCCTGATCATCCGGTCAGGTGAGTTTTCTCTGGAGGTGCAGGAAAAGTTAATCATTAAAAAACAATCACCTCCTGGAGTCTGGATGCTTCCACAGAGCAGAGATCTGAGGTGGAGCTGTTTAGGGCTCAGATTCTGATGTCTGTAGCTCAGATAGAGGCGACTATAAGGTCAGAATGCTTTTTAGATGGATATGAGGTTCCAAAAAAGCTTAAAAAAAAACAAACAAAAAAAACAAACCACTGGGCTTTGTTTTCGTTTCGTTTGAAGACGTTTCGTTCCCATCAGGAAGCTTTTTCAATTTAAAATATCTGGAGTAGTGTTGAGTTCCAGGTTTTATGGAGAAACCTTGTTCTGGCTTAGAGAACATGCAAACTGAACCGAAAACAGGTTCAACCCCTTAGTAATGGGGAGTCTTTAGGGTCGTTATTAACCTGCAAATGTACCCGATACTGGCCCATGCCTCTGTAATCAGGTCTTCATGTTTCAGCTTTCAAAAACCTTCAATGCAGCGATAGAGTCAGGGGCGTGCATACATAGACACTAGGTGGTGCTAAAGAACTAGGAAGTTTGCCCTCTATCAACGAAAATGCCCTTTTGAAACTCGTTTTTTTTTTATTATTACTAATATTAATAAGATTTTACTGAGGTCGGTTTTGAAATGATCTTTTGAAAACCTGAGCCATTAAAAACGACTGAAACAATGCCCCGAAATGAGCCACCTACTTGCGCACAAACGACCAGCCTCTCTCTCTTCCTTTGTCACGTGAACTCGCGCGGTCGCCCGCAGGGCATGCCAGATGCGCAGCATCATAGCAGTTCAGTAAGCGTCTTCAGATAGCAGGAACGGTCGCTGACAGGCTGCTTCTCCCGTGCCCCATTAGGCAGGTAATATACAGATCAAGCAAAATCATTTCGTTGTGCATTAAAATGTCTCATTCAGCAGCACCAAACAAGCATTTTGCCGTCTGGTCACCTGATAAACTAGTTAGGCTAGATAAAGTTTTACACTGTAGCCCAAGTCAATGACAGATAACGTGAGGACGACCACATAGGCTACAAATAATTTCGGAAGAGTTTGCAATTGCAAATCTATGTGTTAAGACAAACGTTTTCTGTTGTATAGGTTTTGTTAGGCAACAAAAATCAACACATTTTGGTCTCTTTACTGTCTTAATTGTATATCGATTTAGTAATTGCAGCACAATGCCAAGAAAGGAGGGTTAATCGTATTGAAAAATCTTAAAAGCTGTTCATTTTTTTTTAAGTGGTTTGTACAAAATCAGCAGGTATTAAAATAGCTATTATTTTGTAGGCTACCATAAGTCATATCCACGTGACAAGACATCCAGTCATGTTGCCCTAATAGAACATTATTTAAACTAATGTGGCATATTTGTTAAAGCTATTATTGTTATTATCATTATTATCATTATTATTGTCATGATGGTTATTATTATTATTATATTGTAGCCAGTCACAGCAGGGAAGCTCTACCATCAACATCTACCAGGACAGGAGATGAGGAAGAGTTCAGGGAAGACACAGAGACAGAAAAAGACCAGGATGAGGGAGAACAGATGGATGAGGGAGAACAGATGGATGAGGGAGAACAGCAGGGTGAGGGAGAACAGATGGATGAGGGAGAACAGATGGATGAGGGAGAACAGCAGGGTGAGGGAGAACAGATGGATGAGGGAGAACAGCAGGATGAGGGAGAACAGCAGGATGAGGGAGAACAGCAGGGTGAGGGAGAACAGCAGGATGAGGGAGAACAGCAGGGTGAGGGAGAACAGCAGGATGAGGGAGAACAGCAGGATGAGGGAGAACAGCAGGGTGAGGGAGAACAGCAGGGTGAGGGAGAACAGCAGGATGAGGGAGAACAGCAGGATGAGGGAGAACAGCAGGGTGAGGGAGAACAGCAGGATGAGGGAGAACAGATGGATGAGGGAGAACAGCAGGATGAGGGAGAACAGCAGGGTGAGGGAGAACAGCAGGATGAGGGAGAACAGCAGGGTGAGGGAGAACAGCAGGATGAGGGAGAACAGCAGGATGAGGGAGAACAGCAGGATGAGGGAGAACAGCAGGGTGAGGGAGAACAGCAGGGTGAGGGAGAACAGATGGATGAGGGAGAACAGCAGGATGAGGGAGAACAGCAGGGTGAGGGAGAACAGATGGATGAGGGAGAACAGATGGATGAGGGAGAACAGCAGGGTGAGGGAGAACAGCAGGGTGAGGGAGAACAGATGGATGAGGGAGAACAGCAGGATGAGGGAGAACAGCAGGGTGAGGGAGAACAGCAGGGTGAGGGAGAACAGCAGGATGAGGGAGAACAGCAGGATGAGGGAGAACAGCAGGATGAGGGAGAACAGCAGGGTGAGGGAGAACAGCAGGGTGAGGGAGAACAGATGGATGAGGGAGAACAGCAGGATGAGGGAGAACAGCAGGGTGAGGGAGAACAGCAGGATGAGGGAGAACAGCAGGATGAGGGAGAACAGCAGGATGAGGGAGAACAGCAGGATGAGGGAGAACAGCAGGGTGAGGGAGAACAGATGGATGAGGGAGAACAGCAGGATGAGGGAGAACAGCAGGGTGAGGGAGAACAGATGGATGAGGGAGAACAGATGGATGAGGGAGAACAGCAGGGTGAGGGAGAACAGATGGATGAGGGAGAACAGATGGATGAGGGAGAACAGATGGATGAGGGAGAACAGCAGGGTGAGGGAGAACAGCAGGATGAGGGAGAACAGCAGGATGAGGGAGAACAGCAGGGTGAGGGAGAACAGCAGGGTGAGGGAGAACAGCAGGATGAGGGAGAACAGCAGGGTGAGGGAGAACAGCAGGGTGAGGGAGAACAGCAGGGTGAGGGAGAACAGCAGGGTGAGGGAGAACAGCAGGGTGAGGGAGAACAGCAGGGTGAGGGAGAACAGCAGGGTGAGGGAGAACAGCAGGATGAGGATAGAGTTGATTCCTTCCCGCTATCATCACATTCCAAACCCCGTTACAGGGGAACAGAAGACCTCTCCTATTCAGCCAGGCCAACAATTCCCTCTAATGACCCACCCTTTCAGAGACATAGACAGGTATGGGGCATTGCAGGCTAACAAAGAAGCCAAATGACCAAAGGGGGGGACCCATTCATCCGTTTCTATTTGCATGTTTTCTAAACTAAAACCAGGCTTTGTTGGGCTGCTGGATAAAACCTGGAACTAAACGCTAAAAAAAAGCTTCCTGGATGGAAGAGAAACGTCTTCAAACTTGGAAACAAAGTCCAGCAGATTTTTTTTAATTTTCTTTTTTTGGATGACTATGACCTGGATGACCAGCAGATAAGAGGTTATAAGACTAAGTTAGATGGAGACGTTGTTCTTTCAGAGAAATGGTGGAAGAAGAACTTCCCTCCTTGATGTTCAGAGATTCTCCTTCCAGGCTTGAAGGTTTTTACTGATTTAATTCAGGAAAACATTCCTGTAAATGTTTTAAATCTGTGCCTGGGAAGGAAAACTGTTAATGAAAGGGACCTTTTGTCTCATCTCCGTTTCTCTGGATGTTTTTTTTCTCCTGACATTCTTCCTCTAGATTGAAGTAACCGCATTAGCTGCGCAGCTACATCTGGCAAAGCTAGCCCAGCAGAAGACGTTCTTCAGCCCAAAATAAAAGCTTTGACTCAATAACCTGAGAAAAGGTCAGGAATTAGAGGCTGGGAGGTTTTTCTTTCAGCAGAGCTCTTATCCTGAACCGGCCTTAAAGGAGAACTCCGGTCAGCAAGGACTAATCAATGGATCTTTATTTATACCTAAAACTAATTAGTTTGCGGTGATTTAATGAATTTAGTGTTAATCAGTAAAATGTTTTAATCGCGATCACTGAATCCGGGAATCGGTACGCATGCACAGTATGTCAGATTTGCATACGTGTATGCTAATCCCTGTTAGCCCTTTAGATTTTTACAACAACGGGCGTGTTTCCCTTTAGTCATGTACAAAAAAACTGTTTAAGGTCAGATCGCCACACGCTTCAAAAAACACAAAGAAGTAAGTCAATAAATTGTTTTTGTTTTTTTTTACATTACTAAAGGGATACTCTTCTGTCGAGGCAGCTTAAAGTCTATTTTCCGCGATAAACAAAAAAGGGATAAACATTTATTGACTATAGGTATGCTGATCTAACACAACACCAGCTACTTTTGCCCAAATATAGTAGCCCCTCCCTCCTGCCATCTTCCAGCAGTGACGTCACGGTGCGGTAAGCCTAGCGCCATTCTCCCCGCTTTCCAAGCTAAATCAATGGGAACTACTAGACACATCTGCAATCAACAACAATTATTGAAGATTTCCAGAGGACTTCACCATTGAAATTCACCAGAGCTATAGTGAAACTGACAATGCCCACGTGCATGGCAGCTGGATGCTGGAATACATCGGGTAAAAGTGGAAAAAAGAGTTATTCCACCTTTCTGATTCCTGATCCTCCACAGACGGGTTGGTCGTTGGATCGCCAACTTGAAGAGGGAGGATTTGCCATCGAACTTCTGGCCAGAGAAAAAACCCGTAATATGTAGCCAACATTTGGAAGAAGAATGTTTTCAAGATGACTTGGATAATAGCGCGTTGTGACAAACACCAGATACAGCACTGGGACTTGATCAACAGCCGATACCGCACCGTGACAATGTCACTAACCAGTAGGTGGCAGTAGTGTTCTTTGACAAACATGGATGCCTCCAGTAAAGTAGCCTCGTGAGACCATCCTGATCTCGCGAGCTTTCAAGGTTTCACTCGCAGATCAGTCTGGAGACTCTCCGTTAAAGAAAATTTGGAGCCGTTCACCAAACGAACGTCCAATCAGCGTTGGCTTTGAGGCGGGTTGAGGTGTGACGCAACGAGAAGCGCGACAGTTCAGTCTAAAGAACATGGCGGCTTCAGCCGATGAAACTAGCGTTAGCGTGGCTATCCAGCAAGTTCTATGGGAATTACAGAGTATTTCTTCACTGAAAGAAGAGCAAAACACTGCTCTGGAGGCTTTTCTAGAGGAAAAGACGTTTTTGCTCTTCTCCCGACTGGTTTTGGCAACCGTAGCCTGGCTGTTAGTACATCATATGCTTCGTTGATCTGATTGGTTTATTTGGCCCGTCCATCACCAACATAGGCCAATCAGCTAACCAGTATTTTCGCCCCTTCCCAAAATTACTTCAACGGAAGGTTTCCAGATGGGTATGCGGAGTAAATCCATCTGGCGGAGTCAGGTTGCCAGTAAAGCACATTCACATGAAAATTACTCTGAATTAAAAACACTGATCATTTATTGAACTTGAATAGTTGAAAAGTTGAATTCTGAATATGAGCAGACTTCTCCTTTAAAAGCTTTTCGCTCCGAGGCGCTCCGTCTTGCTCGCCTTGTTTCTTTTAATCGGCCACCAATCACAAAATCGGACCACGCTGCGGCCTTAGATGCTGCCCTCACTTTTTGTTGTAATAAAAGAAAACAGAAGTTTGGAGACCAGGATGCGTTTTGGAATCTGTTGGAATCAAGACTGATGTGTTCATTTCTCTGATTGAAAAAGGATAATCTGATTAAACCTAACATTTCAATGGCTTAATAGCTTCCAATTGGTCAAAAAAGAGGTAATGCTTTCAGTTTGACCTTCAGGTTCAATCATCCAGCGGTGAATCTTCATCAGGGCAGACCGAGCGTCTGCGTTGGTTAGACTGTAGGAATAATTTTATATTTAAAGTAAATTCAGAAGTTTCAATTCTGAAAATGACTTTACCTTTAAAAATGGCAGCCGATCAGTCGGTAAAGCTAAAGTTTATCCTCTGGTTGTTCAGTTGACCTGCTTCTTCTGCTCTGGACCAACACCGACTTGCTGCTGAGATACAGGAGGCTCAGCTGAGGAAGGGTTTTATGGAAGTTAAGTTGAATTTCAAGACCAAAAAAAATTAAAAACTTCATCAGAAACTTTTACATTTTTGAAGGAATCTGGATTTTTGGTGTTTCTAGTGACGCCCGGCTGTATTTTCTGTTTAAATGAAGCAGAGGAATAAAGCAGAGATCTACTGATGCAGGAGTTTTACGGCAGATTCTGGTTGTTATGACTTTAATCTGATGCTCTGCGTGGCTCGGCTCTGCAGGTCTGTTCATAGACTGGCGCTGGCTGGCCATCTGCTGCTCGCTGCCGCCGTCCCTCATGATGGTCGCCATGTGTTTCATGCCGGAGACGCCGCGGTTCCTGCTGTCCAGAGGGAAGCGGCGGGAGGCAGAGGAGGCGTTACGCTTCCTGCGAGGGCCGGATGCTCCTGTTGAGTGGGAGTGCGCTCGAATCGAGGAGGCGTCCGAAGAACAGGTAAAAAAGGCTGATTTCAGCTCCTCCACCTGCTCGCTGTGCTAAGCTGCTTCAAAGATGGCTGCTCACACTCACTTCCTGCTGCTTTGCGTTCGATTTTTAATGATGGGATGTTTTCCTTCAGGGCTCCACTTTCCGGCTGTCCGACCTGAAGGATCCGGGCGTCTTCAAACCGCTGGTGATCGGCGTCCTGCTGATGGTGTTTCAGCAGATGACTGGGATCAACGCCATCATGTTCTACGCCGAGAACATATTCGAACAGGCACACTTTGAGGTAACGGCACTCCCGGCGCTGCATCACCGCCGCCGACACATGACAAGATGTTGGATTGTTTTTTATCAGAAGTTAATCAGAAGTTTTTTCAGTTGCAACATTTCCTGGTTTTTCATCAGGAGTTTTGCTCCCAGTTCTCTGCAGAAAATTAAGAACAAAAACCCCCAGAAACCTTGGAGCTTCTAGCTGAACCACCTGTCACTACAGAAGAACAGATTAAATGGGTCACAGAACTTGAAGTGATGCGTTCTACAGTTTTTACACAAGGGATGCAATTATTGTAAATCCATTTAATTTCCCACAATGGGGAAATTCGTTCTCTGCATTTGACCAGTCCCCTTGGGGAGCAGTGCGGGGCTTAAGGGTCTTGCTCAGGGACCCAGAGTGGCGGCCGTGGGGATTGAACCGGGTATTTGCAACCTTCTCAGAGCACAGGCTCTCTTCTCTAACCACTAGGCCACCACTCCCCTGATCCGATCAATGAATCAATCCAAAGTGGATTTCTCTTAACAATAAATTGATAGGCGGCCATTTTCCCAAAAACATAAAGTTTCTCTTCTGTCAAGAGAATCTTCCCAAAACATGAAGGGCTAAGTAGATTTTTACAATATACTGTTTAAAAAAACAGAACATCATTATATGTTTGATTAACTCTGGCAGCAATACTTACCACTTGAGCTAGCGGTACTGAGGTAATGGGGGCGGAGTGTGGGTGGGGTGGCGGGGTCATATCTGCGACACACGCGGACGACCTGGATTCTGAGTGTAGATAAAGCAGAAAGCTGTGAGAGACAGTTTGGTGTAGAAACTGATCCCAAACCAGCAGCAGATCCTCCCTCTCACTGATCCGTTCTTTTCCAGGAGAGCGACCTGGCCTCGGTTATCGTCGCTCTGATTCAGGTCATCTTCACAGCAATAGCAGCTGTGATCATGGACCGGGCCGGCAGGAAAGTTCTCCTCATCATCTCAGGTACGCTCACTCCTCACATGAATGACTGCTTAATGATGACGGTATTTAACCCGTCTCATTTCATTCCTCTTCTGCATTTGAACCGGTTAATAAGCTGCTGCGTCCGTCTGTATTTTTCCCCTTAATAAAGTTTTTGGTCCCTTCTTTAAACTCTTGAATGATGCCTCTGTCCTTCCAAAGTGTCCTGAGGCTTTTAAACAGAACCAGGCCTTTTCTCTGGGGGGGGGGGTTACTGGATGTTACTGGAAAATTGTTGTTCTTGCAGGCAGAACAGGTGGGATGCACGATTAGGAAATACTATGTATAGTTAATACAGCTATTCCTTATTTCTGCACATTAAATCCTTTGTCTAAAATGCCATCAGAACGCTGATAATATTAAGTGTGTCTCAGCCCCCCCCCCCTTCAGTGTCCACCATATTGGATCAGTCCATTTGCTGCACATGTTCAGAAAGGTCCAAACAGACAGCAGCAAACCATTTGAAAACAAACCATGCAAAGAGCAGTGTTGCCAACTTAGCGCTTTAGTCGCTATATTTAGCCACTTTTCAGACCCCTCTAGCACTTTGATTTCAAAAAAGCGTCTAGCGCCAAATCTAGAGACTTTCTTCTGCTACTGGAGACTTTGGAGACAACATCTAAAAGCAGCGAACTCTGCTCTCCAGAGCGAGTAGATTGGTAACCCCGCCTCCTGCTCTCCTCTATCTTGTCTGCTGTCATGATTCATGCAGCTATTATTTCATCCAAATGAAAAATGGAGAACAGATAAGCAGATCATGGCTTGTCTACAGTGAAAAGAAGGACTGGGTTATTTACTTTGGCCTTTTTGGAAACACAGGAAGGAGCAATCAGCTAAGTGAGCTTAGTGCTTGGAAAAAATCTTTCATTCCTTTAGAGACAGCATGAAAAGTCAGCTGAGTACAAAACATAGAGAGGAAAACAAGAAGAAAAGGGACAAGAGGAGAGGGACACAACCTAGAACAGAGAATGGATGTCTATTCTATTAACCTGCCCGTCTTTGCCTAGGGCCCCAAATATCCTAAATCCGCCCCTGAGGCAGAACATGTGGGTTTAAATCCTCCACTGGACACAAAGATCAGCTTTTTAAAGGCGACTAACTTTATCCCAAACCAGACACTGTCACTTTCAAGTTATTTCCTTTTTATTTTTATTTCCTGGTTTTTTATTTATATCTATCTTCTCCGCGCCATTTTAGTTCAACTTTCTGTTTTCAGTTTCTTATATTTTCTGTTCTTTTGTTTTGATTATTTCTCTCTGTTCAGTCTTTATTTTTGCCCGTTGGTTCGTCGTTTCCTTAATTCAGTATCTTTATATTATTTAGGATCCTTCCTTAAGCCTCCCTGCTGACCTCTTGCCTCAGCTGCTCGTTTTTCTAATTATCACACCGAATTCATGTCATTCTCCACACCTTCCTCAGTATTTATGCGGGTTCTCCTGTTGCATCTCCATGCTCCCTGGTTGAACGCCACCTTTGGACCAGATTCAGGTTTAGAAAGGTTTCCTTTCTGTCCTTTCAGCTGCAGATAAACGACCTTGATGCAGCTGGAGGAATCCCAGATCACAGCCGTCTGGTTTTTCTGTGATATTTGATATAAACAGAAGATTTTCTGGGTGTATTCTATTAAACCAGATCTAAATCCAGTTTCTTGATTTTTAAACCATTGCTTCATTTATATTTTCTGCTCTTAGGCCGCGTTTACAGGAAGGGAAAACCCAGATATTTTCCTGTGGTTTGGCCTCTCGTTTACACCAAAAACCCAGTTTTTATGACAGAAAATGATTATTTCTAAAACCAAAGTGGAGATTTCGGATGACGCCGGTTATGTGCTGCCTTGACAACAGGGATAAACGGCGTTTTAGCTTCTTAACCGTCACATTATGTGCCAGAAAATCCTTAAAGTCATGTGAGCGCCATAATACAGTTTATTATGGCGATCGACGGCGTATTTATGGTTATGTTTTATTAAAACGATGTGGTGTGCACCATATTATTCTTGAAATATTAGTTTCTTTAAATACTCAGCTGTGTGTAAATGTGGTCTAATCCTGATTTTTCCAGCCGGCCATTTAACACTGTGTCTCTGTTATCTCCCTGAATCCAGGGGTTCTCATGATGATCAGCACCACGGCGTTTGGAGTTTACTTCTACTTGGTAGCCAAAGTTCCCGGCGCCGCCTCAGTGAGTCCGACGGCAGCGGAACCCCACCCGGACCTGACCTGGCTGGCCCTGGCCAGCATGGCCATCTTCATCGCCGGTGGGTAGTTATGGGTTAATGATGCATCTTGAAGCATTTGGACACATTGCTAAACTGTGTTAATGCTGCATTGATACTGTCTCGCAGAATACTGACACCTGCTGGACATTTAAAGTCGTAGGGAAGTCATATTTAAATGTCAAATCATTCTGGCTTAAACATGGATATAAATGTACTTTTTATCAGAAAAGGTTTGTAAATTTCTAAATAAAATAAAAAAAGAAATCCTGTCTTAAATCTGTTTTTTTTTTTTTTTTTTTTTTAGTGATCTTCTGCAGGCCAGTTAGTTCTACGTCAGCCTGAACACCTAAATTCAGCCAATCATATATCAACGGTCATCTGTCAATCAAATGTTTTCGGTCATAGCATCTTGATTCATATGTCGCAGCTAATATACGCAACGGTTGAAACCAGAATCCTTTCCTTTCCCATTGAGTTGCGTCCCAGTGTTCACGGGGATGGACGTCTGTGTCTTCGGCAGGCGTAGAGCTAACAGAACTGGCAGCGTTGCGAGGCAAGGGCTCAAACATGTACGGCTGGAAGCCTTCTACACCAAACCAAGCTTCTGCCGCCCTGGCGTCCTCTTCCACAACATCTTCGTCCCCACTTTCCTCCTCTAAATAAAAGATGGATGACGGAGGAGACTCATCCACGACCTCCGACACTAAACTCTCCTCCTCTTGCATGTTTCCGCTGTCCATAGCGTTCCTTGACAGCGTCGTTTCTAAGTCACCAATTTAGTGCTACTTGGTCCCAATGGAATTTCCCATTGGGAACCTGCTAGCACTAAGTTGCTAACTGGTTAGCAAGATGCTTCAGAAAAACCGGCCACAACCAAATAGGCTTACAAACCTTCCGCTACAACGATCCCACCCCCTTGATAATCGACCAATCACATTCACTTTATTCACTCGTGTAAAGTCGGGCACCACTCGGGAGAATTCAGAAATGCAACAGCCGCTTCCCTACGACTTTAAAGGAAAAGTCCAGTCAGTAAAGAGTAACCAATGGATCAATATTTATACTTAAAACATTATTTTAAGACATTATTTTTTTAGCAGATTAATCATGTTTACAGAAACACAGTTTATAGTCTTTCTAGAAACGACACGCGCACCGATACAGCGTGTTGCTCTATGGGCTCCAAGCATCGGGGTTAATGGACCCATCACTAGCGGCGTTTTCATCGCTGCCTTTCAGGAAGCTTATTGCAAAACGATTATAGGTTAAAAAACATATTATTGAAGATTCTTTAAAAACTAATTTCTCTGTTTGTCCTGAAAACCGAACTGCCGCTGTTCAGGTTTCGCCATCGGCTGGGGTCCCATCCCGTGGCTGATCATGTCGGAGGTCATTCCCATTAGAGTGAGGGGCTTCGCTGGAGCTGCTGTGGTGCTCAGCAACTGGGGGATGGCTTTCATAGTCACAAAATCCTTCCAGGACATGATGGTAGGTCTTTAAGGAGAAATCAGCCCCCCGCCACGCCATCAAGAGCGTCACTCATGCTGCTTCTCTCCCTGCAGAACCTCCTGACCAGCGCCGGGACCTTCTGGCTCTTCTCCTGCATGTGCTTCCTCAACATCATCTTCACCGTCATCCTGGTCCCAGAGACCAAAGGCAAGACGCTGGAGCAGATCGAAGCCATTTTCAGAGGGACGTCGGGTCTGTGACGGCGTGCCAAGCAGGGATGGACATCGTCAACCTAAACAAACTGTTAAAGTGGGCATTAGAGAAAAAAAGGAAGCTGATTTAAGCAGCTTCCATGTTTGCTTTTATAACCGTAACAAAAGATTTTAAGTGATTTATTAGTTTGTTTTATGAAAACTGTTTATTTTGTGCCATTGAGCTGAATTTTATCAGTGAGGTGCGACTAAACTGCCAACGATGATATTAATTAATCATTGGTTGGACTTTTTGACATGTTGAAAAATAACCTAATCCTTCATTGACTGACACCTGGATACTTTGCTCTTCACTGCTCCCTGCAGGCCACAGAGCGTCCAGCGGGCCCAGCTTAGATCTAAAAATGTATGGAGGGAAATTTGATCCATTAATGTTGCAAAAAAAAAAGGCATTTTGTAAATTAAAAATCTAGAAAGTTTTAAAATGTTTAAATCAAAAACGGGTTTAAAGAGTCACTCTGCTGTTTTCTCAGATTTCTAGTTTTTATTTATTTTCTTTACATGTTTTACATGTTTACATTTTATTATTATTATTTTTTTTTTTTCAGATTTAGTTTTATCAGTTGAATTCTTTTCAAACTGCATTTCCCAGATCACCTCTAGGGGGCGGGCTTTCCCCTGAGGCGAGGAGACGTTTCTATTGGTCAGATGAGCTTTAGCACATCTTTATTGGCTTAGAGTGAGGAGAATGTGATGTGGAAAACGAGGAATACAATTTATAAAAATATAGAAAACTGGAGAAATAAATTTTGAAACTATAAAAATCTGTAAAAAAAAATAAGATAAATAAATAATGATTTGAAAAGACCACAATATATGAAAATCCAATCTGAAACAAAACAGAAAAATCTGCAAAAATTACATATGAGAAAAAGAGCAAAGTTACTCTTAAAACTTTTCAAAGTTTCTTTTCTGATTGCATATTTGTTTTTGTTTTCAAAACTTGCATTTTTTCCATTTTTTTTTTATTTACAAAAGCTGTTCTTTGTTTGCAACAAGAAGGGAACTAAACTGACAGAAAAACACGTCTTCCTTAAACTACTATAGTGCTGCAAAAGCTTCACTGGGACAAAAACCCCAAAAAAAACAAATAGACATTTTTTTAAGTGTCTTAAATCAAAAAGAGGCAGCTTCTGCCATAATTTATTCCTTATAAAAAGGTTCCAGATGTTGAGCGAGTTCTGCTGTCAGTTTAAATGAAACCATCAGGACTTTATTAAGGGAAAAGTCCGGTCAGTATGAATAAGTTGCGGTAATTTAATGAATTTAGCGTTAATCCGTAAAAAATAAAACGACAATGTTCGTGGCAATCACTGAGTCTGGGAGCGGCCATTTTTGCCCAAATATAGTAACTCCCTCCCTCCTGCCATCTTCCAGCAGTGATGTCACGGTGCGGTAAGCCTAGCGCCATTCTCCCCGCTTTACAAGCTAAATCAATCGGAACTACTAGACACATCTGCAATCAACAACAATTATTGAAGATTTCCAGAGGACTTCACCATTGAAATTCACCAGAGCCCAGAGCTATAGTGAAACTGACAATGCCCACTTTACTCTTTGACAAACATGGATGCCTCCAGTAAAGCACATTCATATTCAAATTACTATTAATAATTATCATTTATTGAACAGGATGGAATAGTTTCATATTTAAAGAACTTTCAGAAGTTTGAATTCTGAATATTACTGGACTTTTCCTTTTTTTTTTTGAACAATGTTTTTATTAATTTCCAGTAAGAACATCCAAACACATGTTGACAAGCGTTACACTGTTTGCATAATGAAAAGCCGGTCAACATCATTGCACACAAGTATATAGAACAAAAAAAAAAAGTGATTTAAATTAATTCAAATTAAGATTTCAAAAAGTACATACATAAACCAATAAAAATAATTACAATTACAAATAATAATGTAAGGACTTTTCCTTTAGTAACTGCCCCCAGAAGGTTAAAAATGCAAAAATATCTGACATAATTAGGAGATTCAAAGTCCTAAGTTCAACTTTCTGGATATGAGCAGACTTTTCCTTTCAGAATGCAAACGTTTGAGTGACTTGAACCTTTTTATGCTGCTGTTTGTTTTGCTGTCAGGATGTTCAGTTTGCTGTTTTAACCACAGCGTGAAGAAAATCCTCTCTGATAAAACCTGAAAACATGAAATTATTTGAAAGTTTCCATACAGCTAGAAAGCTCCAGACTGATTCGTCATTAGTAACACTGTTGTCTCAAACGGTTGGATTTACCAGCCTACCATGGTGTTTAAACATATTTTTAAATAATCCCAGCGAAGTTTATGATTTATTTACCACAAAATGTTCAGCCTAGGCTGTCATGATTCTATTCAGTCTATTTCTATAGCTCCAATTTCCATCCTGTCCCCTCAGGTCACTTTCCAGTTCACCAGATCATCTAGTCAGATTGGTTCAAAGTTTTCTATCTAAGGAAAACCAGTCTTAATGACTCTTCAGCAATCCCTCACACTAAGCATGCTTGTAGCGACAGTGGAGAGTAAAAACTCCCTTTGAACAGGAAGGAACAGCAGAACCATATGATGTCACATAAGAAAGATATTGACTCTTAAATATTTAAAAACTTTATCCATCAAACCAATTTCATTACATTAGTTTTATTTCATGCACAATTTATGGATAAAATGTTTTTTTTTTTTTTTTTTTTTTTTACAGTTTTGTCAGTGTAGAATCAGAAAACTTTAATTCACTCACAGTAGATTTAATCTCTAAATTTTTTACTCACAGCTGAAACTTAGTTATTCTATATTTAATAAAACTCTGCAAACATAATTATTGACCTCAGTCTTTTAAAGCTCCTGAGATGAAAGCTGAGTCATGTCTTCAAAAAGACAGCCACCGTCTGCTAGCAAACGCTGACTCAGCATTTTCTCATCCTCTGCGGCTTTTTCTGTCTACAATAATCTCTTGTGGCCATTTATGCTAAGTTTTTGTCATTTCTACCAATTTAGTTCTCTTCTTTTAGTTGGTAGAATAAATCTAATAATAAATTTGTCATTTATTTTTTATGTTTGGAATTTTTTAGATGACTTTGTGAAATGTTAGACCTCACAGCGGGTGCTGGTGGATTGGTTGGTAAATGTCCGGTTTTTGACCAATTTGTTAGAGCTTCAAATATTAAATTAACATTATTTTTCATTTCGACTAAGTTGCGAGACATTTTTAGTAATGATTTTGTCTTTTCCAATAAATAAATCAAGTGGGATGTGTCTACAAAGCCAAAAACCACCTGTTACCACGGCATTTGTTGGAAATGTTGGAATTCTTTGGAGCAGAAAGCTGTAACATTTTCCATCTTATAGTAAGATGCGATTAAACTGAATGCCAACAGAAGGAAGGAGTTGCTGCTTTCATTTATCTGCTGTTTTTAAAGTGAAATGATGTTCCGTGGTGCTAAAGTTGGTCAATAAGGACTTCCTGTGCTGTGCTTGGTTTAATGCATGTTGCTGTATTTTTGTTTTTTTCTTTAATCAGGTCTGCTGCAGAGGGTTTTTCTATCATTGGGGTGAGAAGTGAACGCATCATGATCTGATGGAGTTCCTGTTTTCTTTGCATTTTTATTCTTTGTAACAAGAAACTGACAGCTGTAAACTCTAAGAGCTGCATGTCTTTTTATATTTTTTTAATCAGTTTATTGTCATGGTTTTGTAAATGAAATCTTTTAAAGATGGATGACCGGTACACATGTGACTTTGTCTCTTTAGAGGTTGTAAGGTTTGTCTCTCTGGTTGTTTAAACTGAGTTTAATAAATCTGTTTAACAGAAGCATCGATCAACACTTTGAGTTTTGGCTCCATCTTTGTACTAGCTCTTTATTTGAAGAAGAGTTCCATCTGTTTCACATCTAATTTATTTTGTAACAAGAATTTATCAAAATATTCAAAACTGTTTTGAATCAAATATATTTTCCCATCAAATGTTGAGTGGAGGTGCAAAATTAATACCTTTTTAAATCAAACAGTGGAATAAAACGGGGAAAAAAGTTCAACTCGTACATCAAATGTAAAAAAGGTTAAATGCCGCTAAATGAAACAATCAGATAACCTAAAATCTACATTTTAATTTACTTATTTTTTTAAGTTCCTGCAGGGGACCAATCTCTTTTCTTCTGTAAGAAACGGCTTGACGTGATCTTTTTGGCCCATCAGCCACCGTGGCAGCTGGTTTCCAAGGTTACCAGCCACTAAGCATTTTTACTAGCCTCATTTGTGTTTGCCGACTATTTTGAGTACGATTAACGCTGATTATGCCAAGATAAATTTGACTTTAATTAGATGTTCAACCTTTCTAAATGCAATGATCTGTTTTACACCCCCATATCAAGACTACATAAAACCTTTAACACTATGGGTCATTATCAAGAGCGGTTTCTTATTCTATAATAAAAGTGATAGAATCAAGTAGAAGTTTAATAGAGCATAAAAAATAAAAGCAACTTTTCATTATCAGTGGGCAATTTATTGTAAAGCTCTGCTGCATATAGTAATATACAAATTCTATTCAGTTTATTTCTATAGCGCCAATAACAACACGTCATCTCAGGTCACTTTCCAGTTCACCAGATCATCCAGTCAGATTGATTCAAAGTTTCTATCTAAGGAAAACCAGCTGATTGCATCGACTCATTGACTCTTCAGCAATCCCTCACACTAAGCATGCTTGTAGCGACAGTGGAGAGGAAAAACTCCCTTTGAACAGGAAGAAACCTCCAGCAGAACCAGGCTCAGTGTGAGCGGCCATCTGCTGAGGCCCACTGGGGTTCAAGGAGACAGAAGCAGACATAGAAAAAGAAGCATAGATACAAAAGGGAACTGTCAACCAGCTCCACAGGCGGCCCCGTCCAGGAAACACACAGCCAGGCAGACGAGCTCCGAGCCAGCTCCCATGTCAGAGGATGAAGAGAGCACATCCAGTTAATCACAGTCAGAGAAACAGGACTACACTGGAAAACAGGCAAAGCTCCAACATCTAGAAACAAAGGTGTTGATGGCAGCAGCACAGCTGATATTTCTCTCCAGGATGGAGTCACAGCCAAACAGGAACAGACCAGATGAAGCTACTATGAGGAAAAGCAGAGAGAGCAGAACGTTAGAGATTGAACTAATAGATTCGGCAGAGTGGGAGAATAGAGATAGAATGAAGCAGAATGATGAAAAAAGGGGTCCCTATGTCCTCCAGCAGTCTAAGCCTATAGCAGCACAAATGCTGAAATAGCACAGCATGACTTAAGTATTTTGGATGAGGTATAATGTAGATCCAAGGAGAAACTTCTACCTGGACTGAGGATATATATATACATATATATACATGTTTCGGCTAAAAGAAGTAAAGAGCTAAGTTAAAGCTGCAGCAAAACTTATTGTTGATATGCATCAGGGCAGATTTACAGAACAGAGTGTACAAAACATGTGCAGGTGGAAGGCTGAGAGTGACTTTGCTCGGACACACACAGAAAGAGCTGAATTTGTAGAAGCAGAAAAACAGGAAACAACTCCATACATGGAGATAGGAATGTAGGGAGTATGATCACTCTGTGGGACTGTCTGTGTGAAACTAAAATTCTCCTTGATGAAGATAATAAAAAGAGCCTGTGGGCAGAGATGCTGTTCGCAGATGTGTGCTGCTGCTGCTGCTCTCCCTTTTGCAAAAGGCGAATTGAAGCTTCATTGTCAAGATTCTTTATTTCACTCCATCTAAGTGACCTGCACTCGAATCAACAGACCCAGGGAAACCAAGACAGCTTTCAACAGAACTTCAATTCTCCCCATCTGTATTGGGTAGATAACGCTCTGCCTCTGCCTACCTCTCTACTTACCCACCGACTAAGCACACGTCACTTTGTTTTTACTATAAGCTTTATCAAAAAGGAAAGTTTTAAGCCTAGCCTTAAAAGTAGACAGGGTGTCTGCCTCACGGACTAAAACTGGTAGTTGGTTCCACAGGAGAGGAGCCTGATAACTAAAAGATCTGCCTCCCATTCTACTTTTAGAAATTCTAGGAACCACTAGTACCTGTATATATTTATATATACCTATACATATATACAGTAATTTTAGACAATTAAGAAGACAATTTTAATTTTTTGGAAAAAATAAAAATTATATATATACATATATATATATATATATATATATATATATATATATATATATATATTCAACAAATCGAGATTTAAAAAAAATAAGCAGATAAAATAATTATTTTTATGCTTTTGTGCCCCTTCTAAACAAAATAAGTCTTAATCAAATTAAATCTTATCTAATTGTTTGAGTTTCTGAATTTCCGCCAGTTTAATATTTCAAAATAAAAGTCGTATCATTAGCTGCCAAATTTGTTGTTCTGGTTTCATTGCTGGTTTTTAGATATTTAAAAGAAACAACTATAAAACAATCTTAGAAACATAACATTTAAACGTATATTTATGCTGTTTCCTTGAAATGTTTTAAATTTGGATTATAAGAAGCAGCTGTTTCCGGTGCGCGGTTAAATCTACCGGAAGCGCCTGTTGGTGTCACCCGGTTTATGTTCCGCCGCCGCTGGCCGTCAGCCTACCCGCTGCTCGGCGCTGATTGCCGGGGATGCTGCCTGCCGCGCTGCGGACAGGGATGGAGTTGAGCCCCAGAAGCAGCCAAGTATCGGACGGAGTTTGAGACAAAGGGAGGGCGGTCGGCGTGAGGTTAACCGCCTGAACTGGTCGCCCGGCGGGCTTTGCCCCCTTTTTCTAGACGGAAATAAATCCATAAAAAAGTCCCGGTGAAGATGAAGCTGCTGAAGCCGAGCTGGGTGAGCCACAACGGTAAGCTGCTTGTGCAGGAATCTGTTGGACCAAGTTGGGCTTTTGTTGTCGGCAAGGCAGGGAGGGAGGATAGTTGAAGAAGCATGGTGGTCCTCACTGGTTCCCCCGTGGATCTGGTTCCCAAACACCGCCTAACTCTGCATAAAAACACCACATATATTCCACTTTAGGGGTTTATTCTCTGGGATTTAATGCATTTAAATTAGCTAACAAGCTAGCTGGTTAGCCCCCCGACTAGCCCCGATGCTAAACCCACCGAAAATAATGAGCCGAATCCAGACTTCATTTGTCCAACTGACATTTGATGAAATGTTTTTGGCGCTTTTAGTGGATTTTGTGCTGATTTCTGAGGCTTTAGGCGGGGAGCCGGAGGAGCTTCCAGCTGGTGTTACTTTGGAAAGTTACCCGCTGAGGAAACGGCCTGAACTGCAGGGATCAGGTTCATACTGAGCATTAAACTCCTGCTGTCTGACAGGATCCACCTCAGTCACAACTGATATTTATAACATCCACAGGTTATTTAACATGTAGGAAAGCACCAATTGCTGCACCACAGGTTGAGAGGTTTTATTTATTGTTGGAATTTTAACTTCTATGAGCTACATTGTTTTGGATTTTTAAATTATCTTTATTATTTGATTTCTTTTTTTCCAATCCCAGATGAGCGCCCTGAGAAGCAGTGATGTTTAGGTCTTAAAGCGCTGCTTTCAGGTCATATCCTGGATCTGATGTGTCAGATGGATGCCATGCATCGACTGTGAATACTGGTTAAACTGGAGCTTAAACCTGATGCATTAGATCAGGGATGGGCAACTCCAGTCCTGGAGGGCCTGAATCCTGCAACTTTTAGATACGTCCTTGACTTAAAGCAATTAAATAGCTAAGGAAAAGGACTCTGGAGAAATTGATTGCATACTGGGGAGGCAATTCAACCATTTGATTCAGGTGTGTTGAATCTAATTTTGCAGGAAATCGGCCCTGAAGGACTGGAGTTGCCCTCCTCTGCATTAGATGAAGGGTCTGACACTCAGAGTGATGGAAACATCACTTTAGTTAACAATAACAATTCATTCATCTGTAAAACGGGGTGGCGATGGGTGCTGGTGCCTATCTACTGCGAGAGGCGGGATCCACACTGGACAGGTCACCAGTCCATCACAGGGAAACACAGAAACAAACATCCATTCATGCACACACTCACACCCAAGGAGAATTTAGATTAACCAGTGAACATTCAGGTTTTTGGACTGTGGGAGGAAGCTGGAGTACCCGGAGAGAACCCACGCATGCTCATGGAGAACATGCAGACTCCATGCAGAAAGATCCGGGCTGGGAATCGAACCCAGTGCTACCCACTGAGCTGCCCTAATAACAATTCACAGACTGGTTATACTGGTAATCTGCAGCCCTGGTTTGTTGCTGAATCCACTTTCCTGTGATTCTCTGTTTACTTGGTTTGAATTGGTGGATGAATATGAATGTAGCAGCTGCGGGTCATTAAAAAATCATTGAATTATAATTTTTTTAAATTAAGGCCTTAATTGGCTGTTTATTGTGGCATTTAAAATGCTTTATTAAAAAAAACGATTTCATTACGATATATTTGCGTGGAACTGCTTCCGGTTGATCGCAAAGCTGTATGTTCAGAAAAGAAGTTTGAGTCTGAGAAAAGCGAACCCGACTCCGCCAGATGGATTTGCTCCGCATATCCATCTGGAAACCTTCCGTTGAAGTAATTTTGGGAAGGGGCGAAAATACTGGTTAGCTGATTGGCCTATGTTGGTGATAGACGAAGCATATGACGTACTAACAGAGCGACGACGAAGAGGAGCCAATTGATAGATCAAACTCTTGCTGAAACCAGTCGGGAGAAGAGCAAAAACATCTTTTCCTCTGAGAAAAGCCTCCAGAGCAGTGTTTTGCTCTTCTTTCAGTGAAGAAATACTCTGTAATTCCGATGAAACTTGCTCGATAGCCACGCTAACGCTAGTTTCATCGGCTGAAGCCGCCATGTTCTTTAGACTGAACTGTCGCGCTTCTCGTTGCGTCACACCTCAACCCGCCTCAAAGCCAACGCTGATTGGACGTTCGTTTGGTGAACGGCTCCAAATTTTCTTTAACGGAGAGTCTCCAGACTGATCTGCGAGTGAAACCTTGAAAGCTCGCGAGATCAGGATGGTCTCACCAGGCTAGAGAAAAGCTAGAGAATGCGGGATAAAAAAGCTAATTTCAACAAAAGTGTCTGGAAAACGAGGAATTCGGGACATGGCTGCAGCCTGTCGACGGGTAACTGTTGGTGGCATTAAAATTATTTCTAAGATCATTAAAAGAGCAATAAAAAGCATTGAATTTGAGTTATTCATTCCTGTATAAACCCTGAGCTGGTTATGAGCACATTTCCACCACAATACATCAGATATAGAAAGAAAGAAGTTGTTACTGTAGAGATATAATTGTATAAATATTATTAAATGCCTTTATTGTCCCACAATGGGGAAATTCACTCTCTGCATTTAACCCATTAGCAGCAAACCCAGAGCAATATGGCAGCCCACTGCTCCCCAAGGGAATGGGTTAAATTAATTTCATTGCTCTGTTCTTGTGACAGTGGAATCCCAATAAATCGCTGAAAAAAAAAAAGCTTAGATTAGTTTTTTTTTTTTTTTGTTGGCGCTCTGTATGCCTGATGAACTTTTACTAATTTTGATAAGTGCAGCTAATTAAGCACCGACTGGTCACAAAATGAAGTTATCATTATTTATTTTTGAACGCCTTTTCAGGATGTTGGAGTGAGTTTCTCTGCTGTAAACTAACTTGGCTCATGTAGCTTTAAAGTTCACATTCACAGACTCCTCAGACCTTGGGTGTTTGATGATTTAGAACAGGGGTCACCAACGTGGTGCCCGTGGGCACCAAGGGGCCCTCAAGGACATCATGGGGGGCCCTCAGCATCTTTTGAAAACCGAGCAATTCACCAGTGGACTAAATCTGAAATGTTATTTTTTTACTGAAGCTCTTATTTTGAAGCATTTATGAAGCATTTTATCAGATCAATAAATTAGAACATTTGAGGATTTATATGGATTTCATAATGAGAATATCTAAAAGCAAATTAAAAATGAAAAGAAACAATAGAAATATGTTTATTATCTATGAAGTTCAGGTGAACGCCGACTCCTCCAGTTCATAGGTCAGTATTGGTAGCCCGTCCTATGAATCAGTACCCATATATAGCCCTCAGCCTTAAAAAAGTTGGTGAGCCCTGCTTTAGAAGCTAAAGCATCGAACATTTAAACTCCCAGCTGCAGGAACCTGGTGTTCCCTGTATTTACTGCAGATGGCAGGGCGGCTCGCTGTGATTGGTTGAAGCAGTGATCTCCCTCAATACTGGAAAACTACATGCTCCTATTGTCACTCATTAACGGATGAAGCTGTTGTTTTCCTTTTTTATTTAGTTGATTCTGAATGTTTGCTTCCAGCATTTGGGGAAACCAAACGCAGACCGAGCTGCTTCCATTATTGTGTGCTGAGTAAACGAGGTTCAAAGAATGAGGAAAGATTTGGGGAGGTGCAGTATGAGACAGAGGAGGAGTTGACTCACATTCAACAGGAGCAGATCTCTAAGAAAATCCTAGAAAGCGCTCTGGGTGTTTACTGCTTGGAGAGCAGAGGGAACCGGTTTTGGCTGCGCCGCGTGCTCAGACAAAGCTGTGGAAAATCACGCAGCAGTCATTGGGAAATTTCCACGAAGACGAACTGAAAGGACAAAGATCCATGAAGGCGCTTCTGCTGGGAGGAACCCTGCCTGGTGTTCTGCACCAGCTCTCATCTCTGTTTCAAGCTTTTAAAACCTGTTGGGGTTAAATATTAAAATGTGTACTTTTGTCTTTTCTAGGCAAACCCATCTTTTCAGTCGACATCCACCCAGATGGGACAAAATTTGCAACGGGTGGACAAGGTGAGACGTTTAGAACCTGGATGTTTGGATGAAGCTGTGAGTTAATAGAGGACAAGCTCAGTTTACTCCTCCATCTCTGAGGAGGAAAAACGCTCCAATCAGAACACAGGATTCATCTCAGATTTGCACTGATCTCCATTCAGAAAGTGTTTTAGGGGTAAAAACTGACCGATATTTAGGAATACATAAGATAGATTTAGATCAATGACGGATATTTACCGAGCATGAATCCTACAAACTAGTTCTAAAGTGATACATAGGCCTGTTGTCATTGATAGTGACCTAGCAGATCATCACTAGGATGCGAGGAACCGTGCTAGCCTAAAACGGTCGTAAGGAACCGAGCTCGGCACGGATGGGTTTTCAGAGGGTAGTGGAAATGGGTCACTACCGATCCATCCTGCACATTCGCCAACAGATATACATCCAGGTTGCCATAAATAATGTAATTACGGTACTAAAATGAGTTATTTCTATCCTTAACTCTCTAAAGAATTCTAATACACATCTTTAAAAAAAATGTTTTATATGACTTTTGTGAGACAGTTTTTATGCTTTTTACATTCGTTAAACTGCTTCTCTGACGTCATCATGGGACACGCTCAGAGCAGTCTGGCAAAATATGATTAAACCACGTTAATCTGCATTTTAATTGTTTATTTCTTTAGATTATGCACTATATACCATTAGGTTAAAACCAAAGGAAAATATAAAACTAAAAAAAAAATTGATTTATATTTAAATCCAAAGGCAAAGAAGAGCTCCTGGAAGTGGCGTAGGATCACATTTCCGGTGCAGATCAGGCAGAGACGAGTCATAAAACAGGATTTTAAGGCATTTATTTTCTCAGGAAATACATTATTAAACTTTAACACATTCTATTTTAGTACGCTTACTATTACTGAGGAAAGGAAAAGGTCATTTAGGTCTTTTTGACGATATAAAATCGAGGGTGGCCCGGATGTATATCTGGATGTGCAAATGTGCTGATGGCGATCAGGTAGTAACTAGGGGCTGTAGCCTCTTTGCTTCAGATAAACTCCCACAATCCTTTGCTACATTAGTCAGTGTTGCGTGCCCACTGACATAAACACAGAAGCCGGATGGGAACGGGTTAGGGTTAGGGCAGATATGTTTTAAAGGAACCACATTGGCCTGTTTGTGTCGATGCCAATATGTCGGCATCCCTGCTCATTTCCCTCCGTCCACTAATTGAATTCTGCTACAGATCGACTGATTCAGGGGTTTTAAAAGCCGGTTTCGGTACCCATTATTCTGACGCTACTTTAACTGATACCTCAAATGTGCTGCTGACTTTTTAGGGGTTTGATTATGAAGCAAACATTGCCTTTACTTCCTTCACCGAAATGGTAAAAATGAGAGGACTCATGATAAAATCTTTAAACAAAATAAACCTTTATTAACAAATAAAACATTAACAAATGGAGGGAGCGGCATTGCAGGTTAATCAGCACCAATCGTAAAGACTTTTATTTCTCATTTTATAGTTTGGTTGTTAGAAAAGGTTCAGAACCAGAACAGAGAGAGACTGTATCAGAATCTTTTCACTCGGTGCAGATCTGCCAGTGGCCTTCTGGGGAAGCTAAAGGTCTAGCGCCCCTAGTGGCTCAAAGCTATGCAGCGTTGCTTTACAGAGATTTTGTTTTCCAGGGGAGGACTCTGGGAAGGTGATGATCTGGAACATGGCGCCCGTCCTCCGAGAGGAAGATGAGAAGAACGAGAATATTCCCAAAATGCTCTGTCAGATGGACAATCACCTAGGTAACCAGGCTTTTCTTTCAGCCCGTTTCTGGCTGCAGAGCTGCTGTGGACGGTTCTGGTTCTGGTGTCGGATAATAAATGTGTTGGACCTCATAGAACAGGGTTTATCTTTAAACCAGGGCTTTTATAAGCTGCTGTTCTCTGATGATCCCTGTAGCCTCTGATCAGAGCTTTGAGACGGAGAGGATTTTATGGATTGTTTGGTTTCCATAAACCTGCCCAGGTTCTGTACCGTTAACTGCTGGGTTTGTGTTTTCCTCTGCAGCCTGCGTTAACTGCGTGCGCTGGTCCAATAACGGGCTGTACCTGGCCTCGGGAGGAGATGACAAGCTGGTGATGGTGTGGAAGAGAGCAGCGTAGGTCCACTAACTGGCTCTGAATCCCTCCACCTGCGGAGAACCGCGTCCCATTCTGACCCGATTCCGCTCCGTTTTTTTCCAATCTGCAGGTTGATCGGTCCGAGCACCGTGTTCGGGTCGAGCAGCAAGCTGGCCAACGTGGAGCAGTGGAGATGTGTGACCATCCTGAGGAACCACACCGGAGGTACGGCCCGTTTGGGTATCAGGTTCTCGGCGGGTGGCCGGTTCTGGCGCTCAGTCTCCTGCTGTGCTTACAGATGTGATGGATGTGGCGTGGTCTCCTCACGACGTGTGGCTGGCCTCCTGCAGCGTGGACAACACCATTGTCATCTGGAACGCACGCAAGTTCCCAGGTAGGAAAACCAACGCAAACAATCTGGATCAAACCCGTTTCCTGAACCGGGGTCAAAAACTACGAACGCCTGATCGCGGATTTTAGAAGTTCAACGGCTGCGCTCAGTGAAACCTCAAAGGTTTCATCTTTATCAGCCCAAAATATGAAGAAACTCCTGTTTGAGCTCAATCTGACGCATCAGAAATTAGCTCCCCCTACCCCACCTGTTTCTGAAGCTGTCTGACAGAAGGAACAAATCTATGAATCAGTTCTGATTTTAGCAGAATAGGCGAACTGCTGCTGCTAAGGCCGTTGTTCTGTCAGATGAGCATACCCCATCAGACCAGCATACCTGTAGTCATCATCAGAGATGGGGACTCGAGTTTGTGACTCGTACTCGAGTCGCACTTAAGTCGTATATTTAATGACTTCAGACTCGACTTAGACTTGCATTTAAAGGACTTCAGACTCGACTGAGACTCGTGATTTCCGACGTGTGAACAATAATTTATTCCAGTGTAAAAACACTTATTCAAGCGTTTTTTGTTTTACTAACTTGACTGATCGCCGCTCGCCTTACCCGCACACAGAAGGGGTAAAAAAAAAAAAAAAAGAAAAAAGAAAAAACTCAAAGACCCAAACCGTGAAGCACTCAAGTTCAAGTGTTTTATTTATACAAAAAGCCACGGCAAAAGTGGCATAATAAAACAGTCCTTTTCTTCTCCTGATAAAACCTAAAATTCAAGAGTTTTCCTTAAAAATCACAGGCTGGAAGTTGGGCTCCGCTTGTTATGCTGCTTCAGGTGCGAGTGATCGTCCTGGAGCACCCACTGGCTGATCCACAGACTCTGCGGCGCTCCAGCACTGTTCCACTCCCTGGCGTGCCAAACCCCTTTCCAGACCGATCCAGCTGAAAAGAGAAGCAAGGAGAACGCCAGCATCCACGCGCCAAAACCCCGTCGGAAGATATATGCCTGTTTATGCTTTAAGCGAGGGGGAGCGCTACTTACAGGCGAGGTTCCTCCTCTGCCCTAATACTCCTTACTGGGCCATCTGTGCGCACGGATCCTGCCTGCCTCTCCCCCAGCAGCGCGTCCGTCTCTGTCACCTGCAGATTCCGTTCTCCTTCTCCTTTCCTTCAGACTCCTTTTATGTCGGCTTTAATCAGCCCTTGCTCACACCTGAGCGCAGCATTACGCAGCGCAATTAATGCACTCCGCCTCCTCAGACAACTACTTCAGTCCAGTGCGCATGGATTGTCACAAGGGAAAAACAAACCAAAACAACCCAACATGCAGGAAAAATTCAAAAGTCTAAAATAAAGGAAAACAATCATATAAAAAAGAAACATCAAAACATGCAAAGCTCAAGAAGAAAATACAAAGAAAAACAAATCATATCTTCCTCTCCAAACATGCAAAGCATAAAACTAACATTTAAATGAAAGAAAACCATAAACCATATTTTTCCCTGTGCAACACACTGACGTCACTGACGCAACAGTACGTGGACGGCAGGATTTCGATTGTTTTTTTTTTTCCACAGTCCTCATTTTCAATAAAAGAGCAGACATTTACTGCTAAAACTAGAAAAAGTTGTAACCACAAATGTCAGGTAAATACTGTAAGAAAATGCAAAATTTATCTGCAAATTTTTTTTTGCGTGTGCTTTTTTTAATTGTATTTTTCATTTAGCAGTTCAAGATAATGATAATTCCATAGATATAATAGCGACCTTTAAGCTATACCGTCTCAGTGACGGAGATGAAAACACAAGGAGAAACAAGCAAGCACGAAAATTATTGCACTTTTTTAAATGAATCAAGTGATTAGAATTTTTTGTGCGATTAATTGATTATTGCGACAGGCCTTCTCAAGACTTGAGACTTGACTTGGACTTGAGCTCTCAAGACTTGAGACTTGACTTGGACTTGAGCTCTCAAGACTTGAGACTTGACTTGGACTTGCAAAAAATGACTTGTGAACATGTCTGGTCATCATGCATAAGCAAGACGTCAGTTTTGCGTTTATCCCTTTAATTTTGTACAAAAAATAGACTTTAAACTAACTCTATAGGGGTATATCCCTTTAGATATGTGCAAAAGAAAACAAACTTAAAGTCAGACCGCCGTACGCTTCAAAAAACAACAAAAAATAAGTTATTAAATCGTTTTTTTTGTACATGACTAAAGAGATAAACACCTGTTGTTCGATTTTCTCCCGACCTTATGGTTCCTGATAGGGAGGTGGATGCGAGAGGCTGATCGCCCCTTGTTACCCCCTGTACACCAAACGATGCACAATCAGGCTGAAAGTCTGCCCGATCAAAAAACTCGCACGACTGGAAAATCGTCCCAAAAAGAGTGAAAAATCGCACATTGTACGCTTAGCTTAACTAGCCATCTACTAGAACCAAGTGGACCGAATCTGCACAGATTTCCACAAACGAGGCGGTGACACCACAGGTTCTGTTTGCTCAGTGCTGCTGGATCATTGGTCTCCCTGTGTTTCCTCAGAGATGGTGACTTGCCTGCGCGGACACACCGGACTGGTCAAAGGTCTGACCTGGGACCCGGTCGGGAAGTATATCGCCTCCCAGGCCGACGACCACAGCCTGAAGGTGTGGCGGACGGTGGACTGGCAGATGGAGGCCAACATTACCAAACCCTTCAGTGAGGTGAGCAGCTGTTTCACCGCCGTCCGGACTGACTTCTGACCTCCCGGAAGAATCAGCTGGCTCACCGGCGCCCCCTGGGGCTCAGAGAGCATATTAACCTTTAGGGGAAACAAACTTTTGTTGTGGATCACAAATTCAAGAAAAAGGCTTTTCTCACGTCTGTGTCTAAATAAAGATATATACGTGTTTTTATAACTCTAGTTACATGTCTGTAAAACTTATCTGGATTAGCCTATCGCCTGATTTCGGTGTAACTGGCTTCTGGCAAGTGCTGACAGCCCTGATGGGGGTTCAAAGAAGCAATAAGGACTACTTTAAGCCTAGCGAGCAAATTTTTAATTTCAGCCCAGCGGGCAAATATTTATGTTTTAATTTAGCCTAGTTGGCAAATTCTAGCCTAGCGGGCTAATTATAATTTTAGCCTAGCGGGCTAATTTTAATTTCAGCCCAGTGGGCTAATTTTAATTTCAGCCCAGTGGGCTAATTTTAATTTCAGCCCAGTGGGCAGATTTTAATTTCAGCCCAGTGGCCTGATTTTAATTTCAGCCCAGTGGCCTGATTTTAATTTCAGCCCTGTGGGCTATTTTTAGTTTCAGCCCAGTGGGCTAATTTTAATTTTAGCCTAGCGGGCTAATTTTAATTTCAGTCTAGCGGGCAAATATTTATGTTTTAATTTTAGCCTAGCAGGCTAATTTTAATTTCAGCCTAGCGGGCAAATATTTATGTTTTAATTTGAGCCCAGTGGGCTAATTATAATTTTAGCCTAGCGGGCCAATTTTAATTTCAGCCTAGCGGGCCAATTTTAATTTCAGCCTAGCGGGCCAATTTTAATTTCAGACTAGCGGTTAAATATTTATGTTTTAATTTTAACCTAGCGGGCTAATTATAATTTTAGCCTAGCGGGCTAATTTTGATTTGAGCCCAGTGGGCAGATTTTAATTTCAGCCCAGTGGCCTAATTTTAATTTCAGCCCAGTGGGCAGATTTTAATTTCAGCCCAGTGGCCTGATTTTAATTTCAGCCCTGTGGGCTATTTTTAGTTTCAGCCCAGTGGGCTAATTTTAATTTTAGCCTAGCGGGCTTATTTTAATTTCAGTCTAGCGGGCAAATATTTATGTTTTAATTTTAGCCTAGCAGGCTAATTTTAATTTCAGCCTAACGGGCAAATATTTATGTTTTAATTTGAGCCCAGTGGGCTAATTATAATTTTAGCCTAGCGGGCCAATTTTAATTTCAGACTAGCGGGCCAATTTTAATTTCAGACTAGCGGGCCAATTTTAATTTCAGACTGGCTCACCGGCGCCCCCTGGGGCTCAGAGAGCATATTAACCTTTAGGGGAAACAAACTTTTGTTGTGGATCACAAATTCAAGAAAAAGGCTTTTCTCACGTCTGTGTCTAAATAAAGATATATACGTGTTTTTATAACTCTAGTTACATGTCTGTAAAACTTATCTGGATTAGCCTATCGCCTGATTTCGGTGTAACTGGCTTCTGGCAAGTGCTGACAGCCCTGATGGGGGTTCAAAGAAGCAATAAGGTCTACTTTAAGCCTAGCGAGCAAATTTTTAATTTCAGCCCAGCGGGCAAATATTTATGTTTTAATTTAGCCTAGTTGGCAAATTCTAGCCTAGCGGGCTAATTATAATTTTAGCCTAGCGGGCTAATTTTAATTTCAGCCCAGTGGGCTAATTTTAATTTCAGCCCAGTGGGCTAATTTTAATTTCAGCCCAGTGGGCAGATTTTAATTTCAGCCCAGTGGCCTGATTTTAATTTCAGCCCAGTGGCCTGATTTTAATTTCAGCCCTGTGGGCTATTTTTAGTTTCAGCCCAGTGGGCTAATTTTAATTTTAGCCTAGCGGGCTTATTTTAATTTCAGTCTAGCGGGCAAATATTTATGTTTTAATTTTAGCCTAGCAGGCTAATTTTAATTTCAGCCTAACGGGCAAATATTTATGTTTTAATTTGAGCCCAGTGGGCTAATTATAATTTTAGCCTAGCGGGCCAATTTTAATTTCAGACTAGCGGGCCAATTTTAATTTCAGACTAGCGGGCCAATTTTAATTTCAGACTAGCGGGCCAATTTTAATTTCAGACTAGCGGGCCAATTTTAATTTCAGACTAGCGGGCCAATTTTAATTTCAGACTAGCGGGCCAATTTTAATTTCAGACTAGCGGGCCAATTTTAATTTCAGACTAGCGGTTAAATATTTATGTTTTAATTTTAACCTAGCGGGCTAATTATAATTTTAGCCTAGCGGGCTAATTTTGATTTGAGCCCAGTGGGCTAATTATAATTTTAGCCTAGCGGGCCAATTTTAATTTCAGCCTAGCGGGCCAATTTTAATTTCAGACTAGCGGGCCAATTCTAATTTCAGCCTAACGGGCAAATATTTATATTTTAATTTCAGCCCAGCGGCCTGCTAAAAGACATCCAAATGCAACTCTTGAATCTTTGAATGCCGGTGTTATTGAACTGGATTGGTTGGGATTTTATATTGGGTGAATTTGGAATTAGACAGTAAATTGTGCTGCAGTTCATCTTCTCTCTTTATTAATGTTTTTCCTATATTAATCCAGTTTAAAGAGGAAAACTTTAACTAAACTTTAAAATGTTCTTTAAACTGGGCTCATTTGGCAGTAATCATCTGATCCATTCTGTTCTACGGCCTGGAGTCTGAAGCAAAGCCTAGTTCTGGTTCTGGTTCTGGTTCTAAACTGTAAAACTGTCCTGCAGTGCGGCGGGACGACCCACGTCCTTCGCCTCTCCTGGTCTCCAGACGGTCAGTACCTGGTGTCGGCCCATGCCATGAACAACTCGGGGCCCACGGCTCAGATCGTGGAAAGGGACGGCTGGAAGACCAACATGGACTTTGTGGGCCACCGTAAAGCCGTCACTGTGGTGGTAAGAAGCTGCGACGTTGTACTCCGCCTGTTTTCCGCCTGGTTCTAGCTGACCGAGTCGGTTCTGTTTTATAGAAATTTAACCCAAAGATCTTCAAGAAGAAGCAGAAGAACGGCAGCTCCCCGAAGCCCAGCTGTCCGTACTGCTGCTGCGCCGTGGGAAGTAAAGACCGCTCGCTCTCCGTCTGGGTCGGTCCTTCTCCCCTGGTTCTACCAGCACCGAGGCTACTTCCTGTTTACCCATCAGACTAAAATGTGTTGAACTGGTCTCTCCTTAGCTGACCTCACTGAAGCGCCCCCTAGTGGTCATCCATGACCTGTTTGATAAATCCATCATGGACATTTCCTGGTGAGAACTTGCTCTCTGTGGGGATGAAGGTACCGCTCCTCCTCCTCTGAGTCTGTGTTCCTTTGTTCTTCCAGGACACTGACGGGTCTGGGGATGCTGGTGTGTTCCATGGATGGCACCGTGGCCTACCTGGACTTTTCCTTGGACGAGCTGGGAGACCCTCTGAGTGAGGAGGAGAAGGTGAGATCCACCTTCCCCTGAGCAGCGCACCTGATCCAGCATCAAAAATTATCGAAAAATTTTAAAATAAGTAAAGCAGGGTGTTCCAACCATTTACGATGCTACAGCATCAAGTTAGCATTGAGGCTGAACAACACAAAGTCTGATTAGCTTAGCCGTGTTTCTGTCCATCAGCTGCTTTCATCGCTTGAAAGAAGAACCTTGGTTCATTAAAGCCGTGTGGAATAAAAGCCTGGTTATCGTCCTGCAGATATTTTTGATTTATGTCCAGTATTGAAGCGTGGTCTGAGCTACACGCTGTGGGTCTAGATACGGCCGAGGCGGCGAGGAAGTGGGGGCGAGTTTAGTCCGACGACGGAGGGACATGAGGGCAAAAAGAGCGGAGATCCAGGTGGAAAAAGGGTCCCAGCGGTCTCGCGCACCTCGCTCTTCTAGCGGGTCAAACTTCACGAGTTGTTTTCCGAAATTTTGGTCATAAAAACAAACCAGGCCGGCCTCCTGTCTGCGGTCAGCTACAATCTGGGAGAGGAGCAGCGGAGCGTCTGTGGAGGGGCGGGACGTCTGGAGCCGAGGTATTGCATTGAACTCATTGCACTGATTTAGTACAGTATTTTCTGATGCAAAGCCTTTCAGAATCTATAACGCAGGGGTATTATTATTATTTCAGTGAATGAGGTTTTAATAGCAATAGGTGGAGTGCAACTTTTCTACTTCTGTTATTTGCTGTTTCTCAAAAAAATGCAAAACGATATTACAGCTTTCATTGATTTATTTCAAATTTGAAACATTGTCTAGCCTGTAAGGTGTAAAAAAAAAAAAAAAAAACCCCAATTAATCGAATCGTATCGTGGTGTATTCTTGAGTATCGAAAATAATCGAATCGTTGGGTCAGGAATTCGATACTGAATCGAATCGCCATGATGGATGATTTACACCCCTAGTCCTTAGGCAAGAACCTTTACACTGATGCCTGCTTTAGGGAGTGGGCGGCGGGGGAACATTTGCGTTTACGGCGACACCTACGCAGATGACCTGGTTTCTGACAATAAATCAGCCTTAAAGTGCAGCTCTCAGAGGAACACGTTCTCCTAATACAGACAGAAACCATTTCTGCTGAACCTTTTCCTCTTCAGGTGCTTCGGTTTATACTTTCCTCCAGAAGCAGCGGAGTCTCACGGCTGGTTTCTGCTCAGAAACCAGGTTGTCTGCGTGTGTCGCAGATATGCCCCCACCCTTTCTGAAGACACTCTGGTGCACTTTATCAAAATTGTAGGTGACCGCAGACAGGAGGCCTCTGATTGGTCAGTTCTCCATCCACTCTACACTATATTTATTTCCTGTTTGGTACCTAATGGCAGAAACTCTGGCTGTAGCTCCGTCCACAGCGCCTGGCTCACCTCGGACTCTATCCCAGACGCCGTGCAGGACGCTAGTTTGTAGCTCTGAGCGACGGTCTGTTGGTTTGCATCCGAAGCCAAAACATGCAGCGCCGCGGCCAGTCTTTGGAGAACACTCACGGATGAACTGTGTGTCATCTGGCGTTGGATGAGCGGTTGTAGAAGGTGAACAAGCTCGTCAAACCGACACGAGGACACCCACAATCCTAGCTAGTTCTTAATTGGGCTAAAATCAAAAATAGCTGCGTCATACCTGCGACAAGCTATCCGCCACACACTGCTGCGGGAGGATAACCAGCCCCTTATCCAGGCGCTGCTTTAAAAAGTAGAAAAAGTCAAACATTGTTTACTTATCCAATTAATTAGTGGGTTTTAAAGCTGTTTAGAGCGTTTTCTGGTAGCAGGATCATGGAGGACCTTATATGGACGAACTCAGACCTGCTGTGATCTGAAAGGTCAGAGGTCACCCACCGTTTACTTCCTTTGAGTTTCTGAGTCTTTTATGCTGAAAGGCCCAAAGTTTGAGTTGCTTACTTTTAGTTTTTTATTTATTCTTTGAATGATTTTTGTTTTTTTTCATTCATTTAGGTTTTAATTTTATTATTTTGAACATTTTTCAGAGTAACCAGAGAGAAAATCCTGAGTTCAGAGGCGCTCATCGAACCATGAATCTAAAAACAAAATGTTTGAACGAAGATGAATCTAATGCTCTTTTTTTCTCAGCCAGTTTAACAAAAAGTGTCTGTGAAGCTGCTCTGCAGCGGAGATAAGGAGGCTCTTCAAGCCTGAAAGATAAATAACAGGCTGTTTAATATTCAGAGAGGGTCCCAGGAAGACAGGAGACCCCGAGTGGCTGAAAGGCGGCGGCGGTTCTGCAGAGACGTGGGTTCCAGGCTCGGTTCCGTCACGTTCAAACCTGCTGGTTTTCTGCCGCATGAATGAAAATAGATGTAAAAATGTTTGAAACGATTGAAACGTCTGATCTGGATCCAGACTCCAGCTTCACGGTGTCGTGAAAAACAACCAGAACTTTTCCTGATTCTGATCTAAAATGGTTTCCACCTGAACACATTTCACAGAACACCATCCACCAGAACATCTACGGGAAGAGCCTGGCCATCACCAACACCGAGGTCCAGCTCTCCACCACCATCATCGAGAACCCAGAGATGCTCAAGTATCAGCAGGAGCGCCAGAACTCGGCCCAGAACAATGGCGGTGCCGCCGCCGCCGCCGGGCCCGAGTCCACGGCGCCGAAGGTGAACAGCGTGATGAACGGGGAGTCCCTGGAGGACATCCGGAAGGTGAGCGAGCGTTTCCTCTGCATCAGTCTGGTTCCTTTTTTCTTCTGTGGGTCAAAGTGGGACCGTATGCGAGTTCAGATCGCAGGCAGCAGAAGCAGCCGGTTTCCATGCAAAGTCAACGGTTGACGCGCATCAAGGTGCAGCAAAAGGTCCTGCAGCGCGTTTTGAGCAGCTTGTGACGTGACGCGCTTCAGAAGCAGCAGCTGCTGCAGTTGGAAAAATGTAACTTTAGCTTCTGGACACGCCGCATCAACCAATCAGAGAAGCTGATCTGGGAGCTGGCAGGGAGTCAGACACAGCGCTGCTGATGATCAGAGCGTTTGAACGGAGCGCCGTGCAGTTCCCGCTCCCAGCTTAAGGGGGACGTTCTCTCATTTGCTCCGCCTCTCAAAGGAGCTACAGGACGCTCCGCTCTAAATTCGCTCCGTACTGACCTTGATTTTCCTGCCGCTCCTGCGAAAACGTAACCTGACTCCGCCAGATGGATTTGCTCCGCATATCCATCTGGAAACCTTCCGTTGAAGTAATTTTGGGAAGGGGCGAAAACACTGGTTAGCTGATTGGCCTATGTTGGTGATAGACGGGCCAAATAAACCAATCAGATCAACGAAGCATATGACGTACTAACAGAGCGACGATGAAGAGGAGCCAATTGATAGATCAAACTCTTGCCGAAACCAGTCGGGAGAAGAGCAAAAACATATTTTCCTCTGAGAAAAGCCTCCAGAGCAGTGTTTTGCTCTTCTTTCAGTGAAGAAATACTCTGTAATTCCCATAAAACTTGCTCGATAGCCACGCTAACGCTAGTTTCATCGGCTGAAGCCGCCATGTTCTTTAGACTGAACTGTCGCGCTTCTCGTTGCGTCACACCTCAACCCGCCTCAAAGCCAACGCTGATTGGACGTTCGTTTGGCGAACGGCTCCAAATTTTCTTTAACGGAGAGTCTCCAGACTGATCTGCGAGTGAAACCTTGAAAGCTCGCGAGATCAGGATGGTCTCACCAGGCTAGCGAAAACGCTCCACGCTCGCTCAGATTTTCAGGAGAAGGGGTTTTCAGACATTCTTCCTTCCTGTAATGATGCCGGGGCGCTGCGACACACGAGGTTTGATTTAATGATGTAATCGATACACGTGGATCGTCTTATTTAACTGGCTGTTAAATTATCTCCGCTGTGAATGAAAACCTTGCTCTATTCATGTTGCCCTGTGTTTTCTATTTAGTTATTCATTTATTTTACCAGACTACATTAAAATAGGTCACTTCGCTCCCATTACAAATGAAATAATAGCGTTTAATGCATGTATGCAATTTATTTTCAAAATCAGCCTCTAACCACAACAATCACTTCATGTAAACCCACTCTGTATTGTTAAGTATAGTTAGTGTTTTTATGTTTTTATGATATTTTATCCCACTTTTTAACACACAATATTCAATCCTGGTCTCAGCGATTAAAGTTGACTCTAACAGATTATAGACACAGACTACAGCATAGGCAGTGGCCTAGGTTTAAAGTCAAACATGAATTTAAATAATGTTGGAGCGAAATCGTTGCTCTGACCTTGAATTGAAAACCGCTCTGCCCTCCACCATATTTCTTCCTCTCCATCGTTCACTCCACGCTCCGCTCACATGCTCTGCGGCTGAAGCAGAGCTCTATGATCACTCCTCTGAAGAAGTTTATCAACCCTAAATTAACTTAAAATGTAGAAATCTGACAGAAAAATGTTAGATTTTATGATTCTGGTTTCTGCAGTTTGGATTATGTACGTGAAAAACGCCTTCCAGCCGCCGCAAACCGTGGAAAACCATGAAGAGGCGACCAGACCGGCTGCTGCTGGGGATTCCCAGTGACAGCGCAGCGCCGGTATGTGGGGGTCTGAGTGGCTCCCACAGAGAAATAATCTTTGAAGGCAGGATGGTAATCTGGATGAACTGACTGCACAGACCATGTTTTCAGGAGGACTTTCTCACTTCAACATAGATTCTAACTACCGTACTTTTTACCCGCTAATCACAGCTATAGCTGCCATTGTTCCAGGCAGAGAAAGGATAGGGTAGCTCCGCCCACCGCGCATCAGAACCACTTTACCACCGCGCAGCTAGAGCAGCAAAGACACTTCAGCCACGCGTCAGAACTAAACTTTGACAAGCATAAAAAATGAAGCAGTAGGCGTGTTTTTGCTGCTTCTGCTGCGTTAGATTTGGTTAAAAATGTTCCCATCAGGTCTTCATTTCTGGTCAGAAATCGATTCTTTCTGCTGTAAAAATAAATCGGTTTCTTTTCTGTTTCAGAACCTTTTGAAGAAGCAGGTGGAGACGAGAACGGCGGATGGAAGGAGACGGATCACGCCGCTCTGCATCGCTCAGCTGGACACCGGGTGAGAAAACCTTGCTGGTTGTGACTCCAGAGCGTCCGGTTCTAAAGGTGTCTGAGCTCCCGGTAGCGTCCGTCTGTCCGCTTCTCTGACGGCGCCTCCTTCTCTGCAGGGATTTCTCCCCGGCTCTGTTCAACAGCGCCCCCATCCTGCCGTCCGGCTCCTCCATGTCCAATCAGCTCGCTCCGCAGCTCAACTCGGACTCCAGCCCGGGTCAGCCGTCCTCTCTGGGCACACGGCCCAACCAGGACGGTGCGCTCACCTCGCCGCCTGCCAACAGCGCCGCCAAAGCCCTGGAGGACGAAAAGGACGGGTAGGAGCAGCTGCCCAGGCGACCCCCAGCGGCTCCGCTCCGCCTCAGGCTCAGACGTCACTCTTCTTCTCTGCTTTCAGGCTGAAGTCCAGTCTGCTGCTCACCTCGGCCTCCAAGATCGAGCCAATGAAAGCCCTGGACTCCCGCTTCACAGAGAGGTCGAAGGCCACGCCCGGTATCCCGTCGGCCATCTCCTCCACAGCCGGACTCGCCCCTCTGGAAAGGTGATCTCCTCATCAGAACGGGTCAGAACCAACCTAAAGACACCCGATTAATCCGTCCCGCTCTGCCCCAACAGGCCGAAGGACCCCGTCTCCGCCCTGAAGGACGCCAAAGCCAAAGAAGAAACAAGCAGCGACAGCGAAGACAAGATGGCCGCCATCAACAAGAACCTGTCCTTCGCCAAGAGGAAACCAGAGATGCTGCTGGACGGAGGGGAAGTCGTGGAGAAGAGGAAGAAGGGACGGCCCAGGAAGGACAAGATGGCCGCCACCATGGCACAGCCGTTCACCCAGGTGAGGAAGGCGAGCGGAGCTGGCGTAGCTTAAAACCCCAGCAGTCACAGAGTGTTGGATCTGATGGCTGACCTTTGACCCCCCTCAGATAACCCCTCCTCCTGCGGAACGAGAGCTGAGCCGAGCCGTCGCTCCTCCACCTGTTGCAGTGGTCCTCAGGCTGCCCACCCCCACCCCCCAGAAGGCCTTCAGCCTGCAGGTATCAGGCAGCGTCCTGCGCCGCCAGGAGAGGAAGTTAGAACATTTAACGGCTGCAAAGAAAAAAAGAATAATAATCTAAAATTTATCCTTCAGGTTAAAATAATCCTGGATAAGTCACCAATTTAGTGCTACTTGGTCCCAATGGAATTTCCCATTGGGAACCTGCTAGCACTAGGTTGCTAACTGGTTAGCAAGATGCTTCCGACAAACCGGCCACAACCAAACTTGCTTGCAAACCTCCTGCCCCAACAATCCCGCCCCCTTGATAATCGACCAATCACATTCACTTTATCCACTCGTGTAAAGTCGGGCACCACTCGGGAGAATTCGGAAATCCAACATTTGGGACGGCCGCTTCCCTACGACTTTAACAGAAGTAGTTGGTAACAGGAAATGACATCATCCCTTTTTGTTGCAGAGAGGAGGTGAAATGATGGAGTCTGTTAATCATTTAAACTCCTGATCATTTAGGCGGTCATGTCTCCGTGTGTGTGAGCCCCTCCTCTATCAGGCCGTCATGCTCCAGGTGTCTGTGTGCAGGTGAGCATGGAGCCGTCTGTCTACCTGGAGGTGGAGAACGAGGTGTCGGTGGTTGCCGGTTCAAAGCTCAGCCAGCTTCGCTGCTCCAGAGACGGACGGGACTGGAGCACGCTGCTGCCCAGCGCTGTGCTGGCGGCTGCAGGGAGCAGGTAGGAGGTGCTGCGGATGAAAGACCAGGTTAAAGGATTTCATCACAGATCTGCTCAGACGTCTTCTCCTCTTCCTCAGCGATGTCCTCGCCGTCGCCTGTGATGACAGGATGTTGTCTGTGTTCTCCTGCTGCGGGCGGCGCCTCCTCCCTGCCATCCAGCTGGCCACGCCCGTCTCCGCCCTGCATTGCTCCGCCCACTTCGTCATGGTTCTGACCGCCGGAGCGACGCTGTCTGTCTGGTGAGGGCTGCAGGAATGGTTCTCCCTGTGAGGAGCAGGATTCTCTGGATGGTGGCTGAACCGGATCAATGTGTGTTTTTCAGGGACGTCCAGAAGCAGAAGGCTCTGGTGAAGAATGAGTCTCTGCAGACCCTTTTATCAGGTGAGCCTCTCGCGTCCTCGCCAAGTCTGTTCCTGAGAAAAACACAGGAAAGTCTGGACTCGGGGAGAACGGGAGCACGCAGAATAAATTTGGGTCAATTAGAACAGAGGCGTACTGATGACATCACATTCAAAGCTAGTCTGGAGCTGCGTTTCACCTCCTGTTATTAATAGCCTCTAATTAATAATAAAGTCTGACTTTTTTCATTTAATGGGGGAATAATAATGAACACAGTCAGACAAACACAATTAAAATGAACATTTTGCCAAAGAAAACAAAAAAATCACCATTAGAGCCAGCGGTCCTTCACACGGCTATGCAGAGAGAGGGCTGCTGCAGACCAGCTAACAGTGCTAGGACTGAGGTTGATGACGTTTCACGAGAAAGCACAAGTACACATGTTGAGAAACGGCCTATGCTTCTACATGTCAGATCTGCTGGGACTGGACCGTCCACCAGGTGGCAGTAAGGAGAAGATCGCAGTTCTGCTGCTTTCAGGACTCAGAAGATCTTCTGATAAATCACCTGAGGCGCTTTAGGGACCTTTGATTCGCTCCTTTGTTAAAACCCTGTGGTTTGTGTCCCCAGGTGCTGACACCACGGTGTCTCAGTCTCTGCTCACCCAGCAGGGCGTCCCGGTCGTCGGTCTGTCCAACGGAAAGTCCTACTGCTTCAGCCTGTCTTTGGAAACATGGTGAGAACCTCAACCGTTCATCTTTTCTTATTGGAGATTCTGGATTCTGACGCTCCGTCTCCTGCAGGACTCTGATCGCAGATAAAGGAGACTCTCTGGTCCAGTGCGCCGACTTCAGAAGCTGCCTTCCTTCCCAGGATGCAACTGGGTCCTCGGGTCCGCTGGCGGTGGTGCAGGGACGCAACCTTAAGTACGGTTTTAAGATCTGAAGCTGCACCTCTGAGCTGGAGCATCCAGGTTAATGGCTTCCTCTTCCCTCTGCAGCGCCGGGCGGCTGGCGTCCCGCCTGTCGTCCACGCCGCACCACCTGCAGCAGAGCATGACGCTGGCCTTCCTGGAGAACCAGCTGGCGTCTGCCCTGGCTCTGCAGTCGTCACAGGAGTACCGCTACTGGCTGCTCATCTACGCCCGCTTCCTGGTCATCGAAGGTAAGCAGCTGGTAGAGACACCGGGGAGGCTGGACAAACGAATAGGACACGCCCACCGTCTCCAGCCTACATCTGATGGAACAAACCTGTGGATTACACCACAAAATAATAATCCTAAATTATAGATTAGATCCACAGATTAGTGGATCTATCAGCTGATTAGTTTCACTATTAGCCGTTTTAAAGACACTCCTTTGATGTTTGACCGTTTTCATGTCTCTTTCTTCCAGGTTCTGAGTATCGACTGAGGGAACTCTGCAAAGAACTTCTTGGTCCGGTCCATAAATCAGCCTCTTCATCCTGGCAGCCGTCAACTCTGGTAACATGGCGCCTTATTTCATTAAGCAGGAGAAAGTTCTCATGAAACCTTTCTATCTCATTTCACCGCTTCCCCTCTCTGTGTCTCTCTGTCACTGCGTCCTCTCTGTGTCTCTGTCGCCGCGTCCTCTCCGTGTCTCTGTCACCGCCTCCTCTCCGTGTCTCTGTCGTCTCTGTCACCGCGTCCTCTCCGTGTCTCTGGCGCCGCGTCCTCTCCGTGTCTCTGGCGCCGCCTCCTCTCCGTGTCTCTGTCGTCTCAGTCACCGCGTCCTCTCCGTGTCTCTCTGTCACCGCCTTCCCTTCTGTGTCTCTGTCGTCTCTGTCACCGCGTCCTCTCCGTGTCTCTGGCGCCGCGTCCTCTCCGTGTCTCTGGTGCCGCGTCCTCTCCGTGTCTCTGTCGTCTCTGTCACCGCGTCCTCTCTGTGTCTCTGTCGCCGCGTCCTCTCCGTGTCTCTCTGGCGCCGCGTCCTCTCTGTGTCTCTGTCGCCGCGTCCTCTCTGTGTCTCTGTCGCCGCGTCCTCTCCGTGTCTCTGGCGCCGCGTCCTCTCCGTGTCTCTGGCGCCGCGTCCTCTCCGTGTCTCTCTGGCGCGGCGTCCTCTCTGTGTCTCTGTCGCCGCGTCCTCTCCGTGTCTCTCTGGCGCCGCGTCCTCTCTGTGTCTCTGTCGCCGCGTCCTCTCTGTGTCTCTGTCGCCGCGCCCTCTCCGTGTCTCTCTGGCGCCGCGTCCTCTCTGTGTCTCTGTCGCCGCGTCCTCTCAGTGTCTCTGTCGCCGCGTCCTCTCCGTGTCTCTCTGGCGCCGCGTCCTCTCTGTGTCTCTGTCGCCGCGTCCTCTCCGTGTCCCTGGGCCGCGTCCTCTCCGTGTCTCTCTGGCGCCGCGTCCTCTCTGTGTCTCTGTCACCGCGTCCTCTCCGTGTCTCTCTGGCGCCGCGTCCTCTCTGTGTCTCTGTCGCCGCGTCCTCTCCGTGTCTCTCTGGCGCCGCTTCATCTCCGTGTCTCTGGCGCCGCGTCCTCTCCTTGTCTCTGTCGTCTCTGTCGCCGCGTCCTCTCCGTGTCTCTCTGTCGCCGCGTCCTCTCCGTGTCTCTGTCGTCTCTGTCACCGCGTCCTCTCTGTGTCTCTGTCGCCGCGTCCTCTCTGTGTCTCTGTCGCCGCGTCCTCTCCGTGTCTCTCTGTCACCGCGTCCTCTCTGTGTCTCTGGCGCCGCGTCCTCTCCGTGTCTCTCTGTCACCGCGGCCTCTCCGTGTCTCTGTCGTCTCAGTCACCGCGTCCTCTCCGTGTCTCTCTGTCACCGCCTTCCCTTCTGTGTCTCTGTCGTCTCTGTCACCGCGTCCTCTCCGTGTCTCTGGTGCCGCGTACTCTCCGTGTCTCTGTCGTCTCTGTCACCGCGTCCTCTCTGTGTCTCTGTCGCCGCGTCCTCTCTGTGTCTCTGGCGCCGCGTCCTCTCCGTGTCTCTCTGGCGCCGCGTCCTCTCTGTGTCTCTGTCGCCGCGTCCTCTCCGTGTCTCTCTGGCGCCGCGTCCTCTCTGTGTCTCTGTCGCCGCGTCCTCTCCGTGTCTCTCTGGCGCCGTGTCCTCTCTGTGTCTCTGTCGCCGCGTCCTCTCCGTGTCCCTGGGCCGCGTCCTCTCCGTGTCTCTCTGGCGCCGCGTCCTCTCTGTGTCTCTGTCGCCGCGTCCTCTCCGTGTCTCTCTGGCGCCGCTTCATCTCCGTGTCTCTGGCGCCGCGTCCTCTCCTTGTCTCTGTCGTCTCTGTTCCGCGTCCTCTCTGTGTCTCTCTGTCGCCGCGTCCTCTCCGTGTCTCTGTCGTCTCTGGCGCCGCGTCCTCTCCGTGTCTCTCTGTCGCCGCGTCCTCTCCGTGTCTCTGTCGTCTCTGTCACCGCGTCCTCTCCGTGTCTCTCTGTCACCGCGTCCTCTCTGTCTCTCTGTCACCGCGTCCTCTCTGTGTCTCTGGCGCCGCGTCCTCTCTGTGTCTCTGGCGCCGCGTCTTCTCTGTGTCTCTGTCGCCGCGTCCTCTCCGTGTCTCTCTGTCGCCGCGTCCTCTCCGTGTCTCTCTGGCGCCGCGTCCTCTCTGTGTCTCTGTCGCCGCGTCCTCTCTGTGTCTCTGTCGCCGCGTCCTCTCTGTGTCTCTGTCGCCGCGTCCTCTCCGTGTCTCTCTGGCGCCGCGTCCTCTCCGTGTCCCTGGGCCGCGTCCTCTCCGTGTGTCTCTGTCACCGCGTCCTCTCTGTGTCTCTGGCGCCGCGTCCTCTCTGTGTCTCTGTCGCCGCGTCCTCTCCGTGTCTCTCTGTCGCCGCGTCCTCTCCGTGTCTCTCTGTCGCCGCGTCCTCTCCGTGTCTCTGTCGTCTCTGTCACCGCGTCCTCTCTGTGTCTCTGTCGCCGCGTCCTCTCCGTGTCTCTCTGTCACCGCGTCCTCTCTGTCTCTCTGTCACCGCGTCCTCTCTGTGTCTCTGTCGCCGCGTCCTCTCTGTGTCTCTGGCGCCGCGTCCTCTCCGTGTCTCTCTGTCGCCGCGTCCTCTCCGTGTATCTGTCCTCTCTGTCACCGCGTCCTCTCTGTGTCTCTGTCGCCGCGTCCTCTCTGTGTCTCTGGCGCCGCGTCCTCTCTGTCACCGCGTCCTCTCTGTGTCTCTGGCGCCGCGTCCTCTCTGTGTCTCTGGCGCCGCGTCCTCTCCGTGTCTCTCTGTCACCGCGTCCTCTCTGTGTCTCTGGCGCCGCGTCCTCTCCGTGTCTCTCTGTCGCCGCGTCCTCTCCGTGTATCTGTCCTCTCTGTCACCGCGTCCTCTCTGTGTCTCTGTCGCCGCGTCCTCTCTGTCACCGCGTCCTCTCTGTCACCGCGTCCTCTCTGTGTCTCTGGCGCCGCGTCCTCTCCGTGTCTCTCTGTCACCGCGTCCTCTCTGTGTCTCTGGCGCCGCGTCCTCTCCGTGTCTCTCTGGCGCCGCGTCCTCTCCGTGTCTCTCTGTCGCCGCGTCCTCTCCGTGTCTCTGTCGTCTCTGGTGCCGCGTCCTCTCCGTGTCTCTCTGTCACCGCGTCCTCTCTGTGTCTCTGGCGCCGCGTCCTCTCCGTGTCTCTCTGTCGCCGCGTCCTCTCCGTGTCTCTGTCGTCTCTGTCACCGCGTCCTCTCTGTGTCTCTGGCGCCGCGTCCTCTCCGTGTCTCTCTGGCGCCGCGTCCTCTCCGTGTCTCTCTGTCGCTGCGTCCTCTCCGTGTCTCTGTCGTCTCTGTCACCGCGTCCTCTCTGTCTCTCTGGCGCCGCGTCCTCTCCGTGTCTCTCTGTCGCCGCGTCCTCTCCGTGTCTCTGTCGTCTCTGTCACCGCGTCCTCTCTGTGTCTCTGTCGCTGCGTCCTCTCCGTGTCTCTGTCGTCTCTGTCACCGCGTCCTCTCCGTGTCTCTCTGTCGCCGCGTCCTCTCCGTGTCTCTGGCGCCGCGTCCTCTCTGTGTCTCTGGCGCCGCGTCCTCTCCGTGTCTCTCTGTCGCCGCGTCCTCTCCGTGTCTCTGGCGCCGCGTCCTCTCCGTGTCTCTGGCGCCGCGTCTTCTCCGTGTCTCTCTGTCGCCGCGTCCTCTCCGTGTCTCTGTCGTCTCTGTCACCGCGTCCTCTCCGTGTCTCTCTGTCGCCGCGTCCTCTCCGTGTCTCTGGCGCCGCGTCCTCTCCGTGTCTCTCTGTCACCGCGTCCTCTCCGTGTCTCTCTGTCGCCGCGTCCTCTCCGTGTCTCTCACTCCGCGTCCTCTCTGTGTCTCTGTCACTCCGCGTCCTCTCTGTGTCTCTGTCGCCGCGTCCTCTCTGTGTCTCTGGCGCCGCGTCCTCTCCGTGTCTCTGTCGCCGCGTCCTCTCTGTCTCTCTGTCACAGCGTCCTCTCTGTGTCTCTGTCGCCGCGTCCTCTCTGTGTCTCTGGCGCCGCGTCCTCTCTGTGTCTCTGTCACTGCGTCCTCTCTGTGTCTCTGTCGCCGCGTCCTCTCCGTGTCTCTGGCGCCGCGTCCTCTCCGTGTCTCTCTGTCGCCGCGTCCTCTCCGTGTCTCTCTGTCACCGCGTCCTCTCCGTGTCTCTCTGTCACAGCGTCCTCTCCGTGTCTCTCACTCCGCGTCCTCTCTGTGTCTCTGTCACCGCGTCCTCTCTGTGTCTCTGTCACTGCGTCCTCTCCGTGTCTCTCTGTCGCCGCGTCCTCTCCGTGTCTCTCACTCCGCGTCCTCTCCGTGTCTCTCACTCCGCGTCCTCTCTGTGTCTCTGTCACCGCGTCCTCTCTGTGTCTCTGTCGCCGCGTCCTCTCTGTGTCTCTGGCGCCGCGTCCTCTCCGTGTCTCTGTCGCCGCGTCCTCTCTGTCTCTCTGTCACAGCGTCCTCTCCGTGTCTCTCACGCCGCGTCCTCTCTGTGTCTCTGTCACAGCGTCCTCTCCGTGTCTCTGGCGCCGCGTCCTCTCTGTGTCTCTGTCACTGCGTCCTCTCCGTGTCTCTGTCGCCGCGTCCTCTCTGTCTCTCTGTCACAGCGTCCTCTCCGTGTCTCTCACGCCGCGTCCTCTCTGTGTCTCTGTCACAGCGTCCTCTCCGTGTCTCTGGCGCCGCGTCCTCTCCGTGTCTCTCACTCCGCATCCTCTCCGTGTCTCTCTGTCGCCGCGTCCTCTCCGTGTCTCTCACTCCGCGTCCTCTCTGTGTCTCTCACTCCGCGTCCTCTCTGTGTCTCTGTCACCGCGTCCTCTCTGTCTCTCTGTCACCGCGTCCTCTCCGTGTCTCTCTGTCGCCGCGTCCTCTCCGTGTCTCTCACTCCGCGTCCTCTCCGTGTCTCTCACTCCGCGTCCTCTCCGTGTCTCTGTCGTCTCTGTCACCGCGTCCTCTCTGTGTCTCTGGCGCCGCGTCCTCTCCGTGTCTCTCTGGCGCCGCGTCCTCTCCGTGTCTCTCTGTCGCCGCGTCCTCTCCGTGTCTCTGGCGCCGCGTCCTCTCCGTGTCTCTCTGTCGCCGCGTCCTCTCCGTGTCTCTCTGTCGCCGCGTCCTCTCCGTGTCTCTCTGTCGCCGCGTCCTCTCCGTGTCTCTCTGTCGCCGCGTCCTCTCCGTGTCTCTCACTCCACGTCCTCTCTGTGTCTCTGTCACTCCGCGTCCTCTCTGTGTCTCTGTCGCCGCGTCCTCTCTGTGTCTCTGGCGCCGCGTCCTCTCCGTGTCTCTGTCGCCGCGTCCTCTCTGTCTCTCTGTCACAGCGTCCTCTCCGTGTCTCTCTGTCACCGCCTTCCCTTCTGTGTCTCTGTCGTCTCTGTCACCGCGTCCTCTCCGTGTCTCTGTCGCCGCGTCCTCTCCGTGTCTCTGGTGCCGCGTCCTCTCCGTGTCTCTGTCGTCTCTGTCACCGCGTCCTCTCTGTGTCTCTGTCGCCGCGTCCTCTCCGTGTCTCTCTGTCACCGCGTCCTCTCTGTGTCTCTGTCGCCGCGTCCTCTCTGTGTCTCTGTCGCCGCGTCCTCTCCGTGTCTCTGGCGCCGCGTCCTCTCCGTGTCTCTGGCGCCGCGTCCTCTCCGTGTCTCTGTCGCCGCGTCCTCTCTGTGTCTCTGTCACCGCGTCCTCTCCGTGTCTCTCACGCCGCGTCCTCTCTGTGTCTCTGTCGCCGCGTCCTCTCCGTGTCTCTGTCGCCGCGTCCTCTCCGTGTCTCTCTGGCGCCGCGTCCTCTCTGTGTCTCTGTCGCCGCGTCCTCTCCGTGTCTCTGTCGCCGCGTCCTCTCCGTGTCTCTCTGGCGCCGCGTCCTCTCTGTGTCTCTGTCGCCGCGTCCTCTCCGTGTCCCTGGGCCGCGTCCTCTCCGTGTCTCTCTGGCGCCGCGTCCTCTCTGTGTCTCTGTCACCGCGTCCTCTCCGTGTCTCTCTGGCGCCGCGTCCTCTCTGTGTCTCTGTCACCGCGTCCTCTCCGTGTCTCTCTGGCGCCGCGTCCTCTCCGTGTCTCTCACGCCGCGTCCTCTCTGTGTCTCTGTCACCGCGTCCTCTCCGTGTCTCTCTGTCGCCGCGTCCTCTCCGTGTCTCTGTCGTCTCTGTCACCGCGTCCTCTCTGTGTCTCTGTCGCCGCGTCCTCTCTGTGTCTCTGTCGCCGCGTCCTCTCCGTGTCTCTCTGTCACCGCGTCCTCTCCGTGTCTCTGGCGCCGCGTCCTCTCCGTGTCTCTCTGTCGCCGCGTCCTCTCCGTGTCTCTCAGTCACCGCGTCCTCTCCGTGTCTCTCACGCCGCGTCCTCTCTGTGTCTCTGTCACCGCGTCCTCTCCGTGTCTCTGGCGCCGCGTCCTCTCTGTGTCTCTGTCGCTGCGTCCTCTCTGTGTCTCTGTCGCCGCGTCCTCTCTGTGTCTCTGTCACCGCGTCCTCTCCGTGTCTCTCACGCCGCGTCCTCTCTGTGTCTCTGTCACCGCGTCCTCTCCGTGTCTCTCTGGCGCCGCGTCCTCTCTGTGTCTCTGTCGCCGCGTCCTCTCCGTGTCTCTCTGGCGCCGTGTCCTCTCTGTGTCTCTGTCGCCGCGTCCTCTCCGTGTCCCTGGGCCGCGTCCTCTCCGTGTCTCTCTGGCGCCGCGTCCTCTCTGTGTCTCTCACGCCGCGTCCTCTCCGTGTCTCTCTGGCGCCGCGTCCTCTCCGTGTCTCTGTCGCCGCGTCCTCTCTGTGTCTCTGTCACCGCGTCCTCTCTGTGTCTCTCTGTCGCCGCGTCCTCTCCGTGTCTCTGGCGCCGCGTCCTCTCCGTGTCTCTCTGTCGCCGCGTCCTCTCCGTGTCTCTCTGTCGCCGCGTCCTCTCCGTGTCTCTCACTCCGCGTCCTCTCTGTGTCTCTCACTCCGCGTCCTCTCTGTGTCTCTGTCGCCGCGTCCTCTCTGTGTCTCTGTCGCCGCGTCCTCTCTGTCTCTCTGTCACAGCGTCCTCTCCGTGTCTCTCTGTCGCCGCGTCCTCTCCGTGTCTCTGTCGCCGCGTCCTCTCTGTCTCTCTGTCACCGCGTCCTCTCCGTGTCTCTGTCGCCGCGTCCTCTCCGTGTCTCTCACTCCGCGTCCTCTCCGTGTCTCTCACTCCGCGTCCTCTCCGTGTCTCTCTGTCGCCGCGTCCTCTCTGTGTCTCTGTCACCGCGTCCTCTCTGTGTCTCTGTCACCGCGTCCTCTCTGTGTCTCTGGCGCCGCGTCCTCTCTGTGTCTCTGTCGCCGCGTCCTCTCCGTGTCTCTCTGTCGCCGCGTCCTCTCCGTGTCTCTCTGTCGCCGCGTCCTCTCCGTGTCTCTCACTCCGCGTCCTCTCTGTGTCTCTCACTCCGCGTCCTCTCTGTGTCTCTGTCGCCGCGTCCTCTCCGTGTGTCTCTGTCGCCGCGTCCTCTCTGTCTCTCTGTCACCGCGTCCTCTCCGTGTCTCTGTCGCCGCGTCCTCTCTGTGTCTCTGTCGCCGCGTCCTCTCCGTGTCTCTCTGTCGCCGCGTCCTCTCCGTGTCTCTCACTCCGCGTCCTCTCTGTGTCTCTGTCGCCGCGTCCTCTCTGTGTCTCTGTCACCGCGTCCTCTCTGTCGCCGCGTCCTCTCTGTGTCTCTGTCACCGCGTCCTCTCCGTGTCTCTGGCGCCGCGTCCTCTCCGTGTCTCTGTCACCGCGTCCTCTCTGTGTCTCTGTCGCCGCGTCCTCTCCGTGTCTCTGTCGCCGCGTCCTCTCTGTCTCTCTGTCACAGCGTCCTCTCCGTGTCTCTCACTCCGCGTCCTCTCTGTGTCTCTCACTCCGCGTCCTCTCTGTGTCTCTGTCGCCGCGTCCTCTCCGTGTCTCTCTGTCACCGCGTCCTCTCTGTGTCTCTGTCGCCGCGTCCTCTCCGTGTCTCTCACTCCGCGTCCTCTCCGTGTCTCTCACTCCGCGTCCTCTCTGTGTCTCTGTCACCGCGTCCTCTCTGTCTCTCTGTCACCGCGTCCTCTCCGTGTCTCTCACGCCGCGTCCTCTCCGTGTCTCTCACGCCGCGTCCTCTCTGTGTCTCTGTCACAGCGTCCTCTCCGTGTCTCTGGCGCCGCGTCCTCTCCGTGTCTCTCACTCCGCGTCCTCTCCGTGTCTCTCTGTCGCCGCGTCCTCTCCGTGTCTCTCACTCCGCGTCCTCTCCGTGTCTCTCACGCCGCGTCCTCTCTGTCTCTCTGTCACCGCGTCCTCTCCGTGTCTCTGGCGCCGCGTCCTCTCTGTGTCTCTGTCGCTGCGTCCTCTCCGTGTCTCTGTCGCCGCGTCCTCTCTGTCTCTCTGTCACCGCGTCCTCTCCGTGTCTCTCACGCCGCGTCCTCTCTGTGTCTCTGTCACCGCGTCCTCTCCGTGTCTCTGGCGCCGCGTCCTCTCCGTGTCTCTCACTCCGCGTCCTCTCCGTGTCTCTCTGTCGCCGCGTCCTCTCCGTGTCTCTCACTCCGCGTCCTCTCTGTGTCTCTCACTCCGCGTCCTCTCCGTGTCTCTCACTCCGCGTCCTCTCTGTGTCTCTGTCACCGCGTCCTCTCTGTGTCTCTGTCACCGCGTCCTCTCTGTGTCTCTGTCACCGCGTCCTCTCCGTGTCTCTGGCGCCGCGTCCTCTCCGTGTCTCTCACTCCGCGTCCTCTCCGTGTCTCTCTGTCGCCGCGTCCTCTCCGTGTCTCTCACTCCGCGTCCTCTCTGTGTCTCTCACTCCGCGTCCTCTCTGTGTCTCTGTCACCGCGTCCTCTCTGTGTCTCTGTCGCCGCGTCCTCTCTGTCTCTCTGTCACAGCGTCCTCTCCGTGTCTCTGGCGCCGCGTCCTCTCCATGTCTCTGTCGCCGCGTCCTCTCTGTCTCTCTGTCACTGCGTCCTCTCCGTGTCTCTGTCGCCGCGTCCTCTCCGTGTCTCTCACTCCGCGTCCTCTCCGTGTCTCTCACTCCGCGTCCTCTCTGTGTCTCTCACTCCGCGTCCTCTCTGTGTCTCTGTCACCGCGTCCTCTCTGTGTCTCTGTCACAGCGTCCTCTCCGTGTCTCTGGCGCCGCGTCCTCTCCATGTCTCTGTCGCCGCGTCCTCTCTGTCTCTCTGTCGCCGCGTCCTCTCCGTGTCTCTCACGCCGCGTCCTCTCCGTGTCTCTCACTCCGCGTCCTCTCTGTGTCTCTGTCACCGCGTCCTCTCTGTGTCTCTGTCGCCGCGTCCTCTCTGTGTCTCTGTCGCCGCGTCCTCTCTGTCTCTCTGTCACAGCGTCCTCTCCGTGTCTCTGGCGCCGCGTCCTCTCCGTGTCTCTGTCGCCGCGTCCTCTCTGTGTCTCTGTCGCCGCGTCCTCTCCGTGTCTCTCACTCCGCGTCCTCTCTGTGTCTCTGTCTCCGCGTCCTCTCTGTGTCTCTGTCACCGCGTCCTCTCCATGTCTCTGTCGCCGCGTCCTCTCTGTCTCTCTGTCACAGCGTCCTCTCCGTGTCTCTCACGCCGCGTCCTCTCTGTCTCCTCCAGGGTCTCCACAAGCGGGAGTTGCTGAGGGAAGTTCTTCCCGTCATCGGGGAGAATCTGCGCTTTCAGAGACTTTTCACGGAGTACCAGGACCAGCTGGAGCTGCTGCGCATCAAATAGACCCAGACTGACCCAAACACACTGATCCCCGTCAGGTTTGGCCCGGCCCGGCCAGACTCCCACCGCCTCCATGGAGTCCTCCTTCAGCTCAGGTGTTTGGTGGGACCTTCAAACATGTCTGCCTCGGTTTGGACGCCGGGCCTCTTCAGAACCCGTCACGCTTCTTTCCAGGTTTCCCTCTGACCGGACCTTCTGACTCTGCTCTGCGTCTGCTGGTCCGTGACCTCGCCACGCCTTCTGGGTTTTTACATCATGACTTTCTGGAGTTAATATCAGGGAGACGGTGAGTTCTGGTCACATCCTGCTGCTGTTCTGGGCAGAACGTTGGAACCAAAGGACGTCTGTGATCTTTGGAGCTCCTGGCAGAGAAGCTCAAAGAGTTTTTACAGGAAGTTACGCCTGAGAGCACTTAGCTGGGTCCTCTGATGGGAGCCAGTTCTCCCACAGCAGACGCATGGTTCCCACCACTTCCTGGGTGCTGATCTGAACATCATGTAGATGAATTATAAGGTGAAAGACGTGAAGAAACCTCCGTTTAAAATCAGGAAGTTCAGAAATATTCAAGGTCTCAATCTTCATCATGAAGCATCAGTGGAGATGGAAACATCAAAACATCTTTAAATCATTTCTCTCATTAATGTTTTGGTTTGTGGAGCGATTAGAAGAACGGACCTGAGATCAGAAACAGTTCTGCCACCAGGTGGCAGCAGCGCTCAGTGTGTTGCGGCTTGATCGCTCCCCCCAGCTGTGGACCAACCGCTCCTTCCGTTAGCATCGCTGGTTTCTCCCACTGCTTCTTCTTTCTGTTTTACCACATTTGTACATTTGTTTTTTTCTGTTTTTTATGATTAAAAAAATAACAGAAATTTTGTTTTGGAGCAAAAATGGAAATTAAAAGCAGAATTGATGAGTTTGTTAATTTCCTGGTGTTGGATTTTATTTCCTCCTAAAGACAAAAAGATTCAAACTGTTTATCCAATGATTATTTCTACCTCAAAGGAATTCATGCAAATCTGATCGATGCGTTTCTACCTACTGATGGAGCGAGCTGAAGATTAGGGTGATGGTAAGGAGGTCTACCACACTTTTTCACACAGACTGTTGTTTTTGAAGTTTTGTGAGAAAAAGCAGTGCGTACGTTTCTGAAACCGAAACACTGATAAGAATCAAAACCAGATTGAGATAAAGATGTAATCAAAACAAACGCTGCTCTGTGTTTGCAAAGTCTCAATGTTTTTTCAAGCAACTAATCAGTAAATCATTTTATAATTACAACAGAAAAGGCTGTTAAACATGTTTAACTTTTAATCTATGCACTAATGAACATTAGCACCTGTGCTTTTCATTAGACTAAAAGGTAAACGGATGATATAAAATGACCTGTAGTTTTTAATGACAGCTGGAGGTCGTCTGCAGCAACATCAGGATAAAGACGATGGAAGGAGGAAAATATTCACATTTAAAGGAACATTCGGTTTTTTGGGGGGTTTTTTTCACTGCTATCTGGAAAATACGGAGCCCCTAAAGGGACATGGAGGGGAAAAAAATAACTTTTGCGAGATCCTGCAATACTTTTGCAGGATTTCGCAATACTTTTGCGAGATCCCACAATAGATTTGTGACATAAACTTTTGCGAGATCTCGCAAAAATATTGCGGGATCTCGCAAAAGTACATTTTTTTGCGAGATCTCACAATACTATTGCGGGATCTCGCAATCCCCTCCATGTCCCTTTAGGGGCTCCGTAGGAAAACAATAGTTTAAATCAGATTTTTTTTTTTTTTTTGCTGAATAAAGTTTACTTGAATTAAAGGTCCAATTTCCTGCTTTTCTAACTTTTCCAAAGTCAACTAAAGGTCATTATTTCTTCTTATCCAGAAGCTTTTTTCCTTCAGTGTGACGCTTGCTCTCTATGACACCCTGGGTAGAGCTACAGCACATAGACACAGCACATGAAAGCTAACGCTACCTACTGCTAGTTGCTATAGCAAAGCTGGAGGAAAGGTGATTTTTTTTTTTTTGTACTTTAATTTTGATAAGATTTTCCAGAATACATCACCAACACAAAAAAGAGGCAATATAACCATAATAGAAAAGTGTTAATTAACACACACATATATATATATATATATAGAGAGAGAGAGAAAAAAGGAAAAATAAATAAAAATCGCAACGATCACAGTGAAAAGCAATCGAAATGGAGAGGTCACAAAGGGAGGGGTACTAAAATACAACAAGGAAAAAAATTTAATTATGAACTGTTTTTAGGTGTATAGGTTACAAAGTAGGGAAGGTGATTTTAAGGGTTTAAGATGATGAAATAAGCTGCAGATAGTGACTCGGTTTAATGACGTGTTTTTAGTCCAGATACCAAACCTGAGACTAAACCAAGACCAGAATAACACATCTATGATTAACTCGTTAAAATGTCATTTTTGAGTGATTTTTTTGCTTCCTTTGCTAATTGACCTGCGGAGGCTCAGCTGTGCAGGATGATAAACAGTGTTACATAGAATTAATTTAAATTAAGGCCGACAGAAGTCGTTTTACGCTTCATTATATTAATAATTTTTCCTTGACGCTGACCTTTTGATTTCATGTTTATCAAATCTGTATAAAAACGATAACTTTATACGGCCGGACCTGAGCTGATAAACTCAGTGCGTTCTACTCTAAAGAAAACACTAATTTCTTGCCTAACCTTTGAAAACTGGTTTAAACAACTTTTGCTCACTTGATAAGTTGAACTGAAATGACTTTAAGAAAAATAATTAGCTTAAAACTAATTTAACTTTTACATTGAATAGAAAATCAAATTAATTAATTATTTTGTCTTCATGTGAGTTTTTCAGATTGAACTAAATCTGAAATGAGGTTTTTATGTTTTATGTTCTCTACTTTTTGAAGTAGAGAACAAAAATCGTTCAGTTTGGTTTATAGATAATTTCCTGATTCCCATATTTTCTCAAACACCTGAACTGAGCGTTTGTTATTTTCTTTCCTTTTTTCTGTCTTAATGTTGGCAGTGGGCTTTAGGCTGCCCTGCAAGGATTTAAACCTGGGTTTAAATGGAGACTAAGCCATTCTCAAGCACATATCAAGGAGCTCATTCTGAGCCTGGATCCAGATTTATTGTTGATTCTGTTCATGGTGGAGAATCCTGCTTCACAGCAGCAGGTTGAGCCAAACATCCTCTAAATGTGCAGGGTCATCTTTGAGCACGCCATTTCACTTTTCTTTCACCAGTTCACCGCAGTTCTTCCAGCAGTCCACACTTTCTCTGCTCTCTTTTTCTCATGGTCTTCTCCTTCTTTCCCATCGCCCGGCTTGCCACAGGTTTGCCTGCTGTGTCTAAAAGTAGCAGCAGCAGCAACCCAGACTGACAGCTCATTGGCTCATTTGGATCACGCGCAGCCTGGAGCCGGACGCTCCCCAGGGCTTTACCGTATTAACAGGAGAAGAGGAGCAAGTGAAATTAGACACTGACGTCGGACAACATGCGGAAATTTCTAAATGTTTTAAATCAGGTTGGGTCCAGATTAGCCACCGGATCCGAGTCCGGTAATCAGTGACCTCTGGTGTAGAGCCTCATGATAATAAGTAGGACATTTACAGTTTTTAAGATACTTTATCAGTCTAGCTTTGTTATAATTACTTCATTAAACAATCCTGCAGTCGTTAAGTATCAATATTTAACTGTACTGTTAAATTCTAGCCACACCCAGCTAGGGGCGGAGCTAAATGGGGGGCCAGGGGTGGCCATGGCCGCCCTTAGACAATCATCTCTAATACAGATGGGGGCAGCAGTAATACTCTCAAGTGGAATATTCAAAACATTTAAATTTTTCATATATTAATAATTACTTGACAACAAAAACACTGGTTAATTATTCACATCAATATACTGAAATTAAAGTTGAAATATATGGAATTCATGCACTTTTTACAACAATTTTTTGTGTTATACGGGTTAAAGAGAAAATGATGCATCTCTGCAAGTCATCCAGGAGTCTTCAGTGAAATCATAAATAACTATTTTAATAAAAATTTATTAAATAATCCATTTATGTAGCAATTAGTATTTGTATTTTATGCAGAAGGATTATTAATAAATGATAAATGGAAAGGACGTTTTGAATCCACTGTACCTTTTATTTAGACAGCATAGATGTTTAAATATATGCGTCTATTTGATAGCAAAGACTGTAGGAAAGTATAATTTGTCTTTATTTAAAAAATAATACATTTAATTTGCATTACTGCACTTTCCATCAAAAGATCTCCAAGTGCTACAGGTAAAAAGAGAAAAGCATGAAAAAACCTCTAAAGGGGACCAAAAGCTTTGCTAAAAAGAAATGTTTTAAGGCCTTTTTTAAAAGGCTCAGTGGACTGAGGCGCCCTGCAGGTGTGGAGAGGACATTCCACAGGTGTGTTACTATGGTGGCAGAAAGAGGTGATTTATATGGGCTTCAAAAGGGTGTTGGGAGTCCATTTTTACACCAAGATTACTAACTGTTGATGAGAGCAGGATGTTAGTACCAGAAAGGTGATGCTGGTTATGGATGATGATTTGGTTTAATGAGGAGTTCCAACCAGGATGGTTCGGTTTTGGAGCTGTTGAGTTGAAGAAAGTTTTGCTCCATCCGTACCTTGATCTCCTCCAGCAGCAGCCATGATGTCACTGAGACTGACCGGCCCCCACCGAGGCTCCTGGGGATTTCTTTTCTTTACCATTTTTAAATAATTTATGCTGTTTGATCATTTTGATCAGTGGAAATTATTTTTTTTATATTGCGATTTATTATTTATCTACTTAAATTAGTTTCAATTTCTCTCAAATTTGTATTTCTGTTTAGCTGTAATATCATTAAAGTATTCACTTTTCAACCAAATGCTGGACATAAAAAAAGTCAGAAGTTTAATGATACATCAAACCTTAATAATTAATCGGTATGGGCAATAAAGAGATGCATGATTGAAAGGAAATACAGCCTGGCATGATTGGGATGAAGGAAGAACTTTAGAAAACAGTCAAAAGCTCCAATAAGTTGATTTTGGTAAACTAATACAACCTTTTTAAACTTCACTTTTAAATCATACAATTAGACTTTCAATTGCATTTTTTAATTGCACAATTTAACTGACTTATAAAAGAGAAAGAGTAAAAACATTAATCCATTATTAAAGTTTTTCCATTTAGCCTTTTACAGGTGCTGGTCATAAAATTAGAATATCATGAAAAAGTAGATTGATTTCAGTAATTCCATTTAAAAAGTGAAACTTGTATATTATATTCATACATTACATACAAACTCATATATTTCAGATGTTTATTTTGTTTAATTTTGATGATTACAAATGACAACAAATGAAAATCTCAAATTCATCATATCAGAAAATTAGAATATTGTGAAAAGGTTCAAAATTGATGGCCCCTGGTGCCACACTCTAATCAGCTAATTAACTCAAACCACCTGCAAAAGCCTTTAAATGGTCTTTCAGTCTAGTTCTATAGGCTACACAATCATGGGGAAGACTGCTGACTTGACAGTTGTCCAAAAGACGACCATCGACACCTTGCACAAGGAGGGCAAGACACAAAAGGTCATCGCTAAAGAGGCTGGCTGTTCACAGAGCTCAGTGTCCAAGCACATTAATAGAGAGGCGAAGGGAAGGAAAAGATGTGGTCGAAAAAAGTGTACAAGCAAGAGAGATAACCGCACCCTGGAGAGGATTGTGAAACAAAACCCCTTCAAAAATGTGGGGGAGATTCACAAAGAGTGGACTGCAGCTGGAGTGAGTGCTTCAAGAACCACCACACACAGACGTATGAAAGACATGGGTTTCTGCTGTCGCATTCCTTGTGTCAAGCCACTCTTGAACCACAGACAGCGTCAGAAGCGTCTTGCCTGGGCTAAA